AGACTGTCTAAAAAAAAAAAAAAAAAAATCACAACAACAAATGTATTTCTTTGGAATATACTGCATAACGCCATATTGCACTTGTATGTCTTAATTTAGCCTCACAGGAAGATGCCCTAAATGCCAAAATACAGAAAGGGCTTAGGCCATAAGAAGACTGTCAGAAACAGAAGCGGTTTTAAGAGGTTGGATGCAGGTGAAAGGCTTCAGCCCACGTTTCTAATGGCTGCATATCAGTGAACAGGTTGTTCAACAAAAGGAAAAGCAGCCACAGATTAAGGTCAGGAAATGGAGAAAAACTGAGCAACAGCAACCAGCTAGCATATTTGCAGGTGAACATCTTTGTGGTCTCAGCAATTCCAGTAGTTTAAAATCAGAGAATTTTCTTTTCATATATTTTTTTATTGAGATGGGGTCTCTGTTGCCTAGGCTGGAGTGCAGTGGCATGATCAAAACTCACTGCGGCGTTGACCTCGTGGGTCCAAGTGATCCCCCCACCTCAGCCTCTCAAGTAGCTGGGGCTACAGGCACACATCACCACGACTTTTTATATTTTTTGTAGAGACGGGGTTTCCCCATGTTGGCCAGGCTGGTCTTGAACTCCTGGGCTCAAGCGATCCTCCTGCCTCAGACTCCCAGAGTGCCGGGATCACAGCTATTCTTCCTGGCCAAATAATTTTCTTTTCTTTTCTTTTTTGTAAATCGATTTTTACTTAACATAATTTATAGGCTTACAGGGAATATTCCTTACGTGACTGTAGAGTAATGGGCTTTATTACTGGACAGACTTTACTTTTTTGTTGAGTCACTTAATAGATTTATGAGTTATCTAAGCTCTTTAATTTGGCAAATAGAAACCTCTTAGAGTCATGGAAGACACATGCAAATTACGCTAATATATGTAAAGCATCTGACTTGACTTACAAGTACAATAAGTAATGGTGATTCCTCTTTGTACTGTTATAATTCCACACTGGCGTTTAAGCAAAAATGGTTATTATATGTGAATACATTTTCCTTACTGCAAAGGCTAAACAAATATTATTATTAAAAGGAATTGTTATTCAGGTCACTGTTTTTAAATCATAGGTAGAGCTAACACTAAAGTGAATCTCAAAGTAAATCCCATAATGTCCTCTCAGTGCAGAGACAGCAGATAGGGAGGAGGCAGAGTAGGTTAAGTGTTAGAGGAGAAGAACGCTGTGAGTTTTCCTCAGGAGTCCTCAACCAAAACTATTAAATATATATACATATATATATATATATATATATATATACATATATATTGCACCACTCTAGCCTGGGCAACAGAGTGAATCCTCATATATATATATATGAGGATTCACTCTGTTGCCCAGGCTAGAGTGGTGCAATCATAGCTCACTGTAGCTTCAAACTCCTGGGCTCATGCGATCTTCCCATCTCAGCCTCCCGAGTAGCTGACCACAGGTGCAAGCCACTGTGCGTGGCTTGAAACTGGTGTTACAAATGTTAATTAAGCCTGCTCAATAGCCTTACCCACTACTTTACCCTACCCACCTCCCACCAACAGATGCAAAAACACATTTTATACTTTTGAGTGCTAGACTTAGTATTTCAAACAGACACCTTTTTTTCTTTTTGCAAATAAAACTTTAAATGTGACTTTATTATCTCTTGCCATTTTTATTACTGAATAAGTGAATGAAATATTAAACCAAATTATAAGTTTTCCTGAACTACAGCCAGGTTTTTTTTTTTTCTCTCTCTCTCTGTAATTGTGACACGAATATATGTTGAACTCAGTAATCATTTTCAGTCAATGGGAAAATAAAAGAAAAAAAAAATCCCATGCTGGAATGATGCAAATAGGTGAGCTTGCTTATTAGAATCTTTTTGTCTTTTCTTCTTACAGGCCAGTCACATCATACATATCCAGGTTAGAGAATGCTAATATAAACCTTGCCCACCTCTCTCAGCCCATCTTTCTTACTCAGACAGCTTCTGAGCAGCTCTTTGATGAAGACACAGTCTTCAGTTTCCAGGACAAACTGAACCACAGCCTTCCGTCCTGGCAGATGGCTCCTCACCATCTGACTTTTGACACTGTCCAGGACAACTGCCCTGATGTCTTTAGGCTTTCCCGGCATCCCAAAGATGAAAAACAGACCCAGGCAATCCTTTCCTATCAAGCTACAGAATTCTTCCAGCTTATCAAATCTACTTTTCTTCCAGGAAGACTCCTCTACCCTTGATTCTGGATTGGAAAGGTCACAAGGCTTAGATTCCACGAGAGAAGGTGAAGACATCCGCAGAGTCTGTACTGCCAGCTGAAACTTTATTTGCTTGTCAGATCCCCAAAAGGTCCAAATCCAGTCAGCGCCAAATAGTAAGGCTTGGTGCTTGGTCATCTTGGTGGTCGTCAGCCATTCATCAATTCCCTTTTCTTGGCAGAAAGTGATGAAGTGGATTAAGAAGATTTCATTCAGAGTATTTGCAGCTGGGCAGAGTTTACTCAGAGGATATTCAAATCCAAGGTACTCCTTCAGCTTCTGAGCCGCATGGACTATAGCTTCACTGACCACCTCACAGACCCTGTGCACCTCTTTGCTGTCCTTCAGAGCCAACTGTTGTGATGCTTTTTGCCCCATTTTCTCTGCATTCAAATATCAAACAAGTGAATCTAGTTCAAACCACTTCTATCTCAAAGAAAAAGTTCTGCAGAGAAGTCCCATCTGTTAACATGGTTCACGTTTTAACTCTACAGCTTCCTTGGGTGTAGTTAAGCATATATACATACGGCTAAATACACGTTAGGTCTCTGTTTGTTAACTGGGTGTTTTCCATTCATACAGTTCCTGCTGGTTTAAGTTAGTGATACCAAATTTCACACGAAATATCTGTTCTATCTAGGTTATATCCACTCTACTTTTAATCTTTGGTAATCGCTTCCAAGATATGTTTCTTCTTTCCAAGTGTTAAAGTAAAAATGGCATGTTAGTTCTTTTTCTTGTTTCTTGAGGCAGGGTCTCACTCTGCTATGCAGGCTGGAGTGCAGTGGCGTGATAATGGCTCACTGCAGCTTCAACCTCCCTGGCTCAGGTAATCTTCTCACCTCAGCCTCTTGAATAGCTGGGGCTACAGGTGTACACCACCACACCTGGCTAATTTTTAAGTATTTTTTGTAGAGATGGGGTTTCACTGTGTTGCCCAGGCTGGTCTTGACCTCTTAGGTTAAAGCAATCCTTTCACCTCGGCCTCCCAAAGTGCTGGGATTATAGGCATGAGCCCTGTGCACAGCCCACTATGTTAGTTCTTCAAAGATCCGTATACCTCTTTCTACAACTAACTTCTCCCAGTCTGGAGGTGAGTCATTTCCATTTGCTTTTCCTATATCCCTTCTGCCAGTATTTTTTTCTTTTTAAATTTTTTTGTTTTTGTTTCTTTTACCTTTTGCCATGATTCTTCATTCCTCAGCTTAGTTTCTTCTTTTCCTACAAAAGCTTCTCAAACAAAGGCCTCAAATTCCTATCTGTTAATACATGTTATAAACTCCATTCAAACAAATTTATGGCAGTTTATAAAGAGATCATGTTACTTTTTATATCAGAAACAAAGCCTGTTGCTATGAACAATGGAAAATGAAATAACAGCAATAAAAATGAGGCAATTATCAATGAACTTTATTTCTTTTGTATGGTAACACCAGCAGTGTATATTTTGTAAATAATATACATCATAAAAAAATTAACCTTATTACATATCGTCAGTTAGGTTATACTGTCCTGAATAAAAAATATTTGGCATCTGTAACAGTCTCCTTGTATTTTCAACCAGGTTCTAAGAACAAATTGACTTTTTCAAATGGTGACATCTAGTCACATTAAAATAAAATCCAAATAAAGTCCAATACAGTTACCAAATAATGAACGGTAGCATTTAAAGAAAATTATTATTAGCATCAAATCATTTTAGTTATGAATAAATAGCAATTTGGTATTATAAGTTCTTTAATGAATAACTTGGTAACTTGCTGACAACTTAGAAGATAATACCACTGATATTCAGATACATTTTATAATCAAGTCCAATGGCAGATACTGAACTGCCCACTTCCACCTCAATTTGTGAAAACCTGTCTATTGTAGGGTTGGCTACCATGGGTAATTATGTAGCACTGAATAAAAAATAGAATATTTTTCTAATATTCCTACAAATATAATAAACACAGTAATAGTTTTTGCTGCAGCGATATTTTTTAAAAAGAATATTTGGGCCCAGTGCTACAGAAAAACATGAACTACATCTTATTATAACAAAACATCCATTATAAAATGAATTTTGCAGCCTCTGTTTTTTAGATCTTTGAAATAAAATGTCCAGACAAATATTCAACTTTTTAAAAAGCTCCATTCATTGATAGCCTAAGAAATAAACAATGAACATGTTTAGGCAGACTGTTAGTATTTTGGTGTAATGATGTAGTTAACGAAGAGAAAAACAATACTGTGAAGGTTTCTGCTTTGCTTTTGGTTTCCTCAAAAACTATTTCTACAATTTTTTTTGGTGGGGGAGGGGATTCTGAATGTATTCAAGTTAGTAGTAGGCCAGGCGCATGCAGTGGCTCACACCTGTAATCCCAGTACTTTGAAAGGCTGAGGTGGGAGGATCGCTTGAGGGCAGGAGTTTGAGACCAGGCTGGGCAACATGGTGAGACCTTGTTTCTACAAAAAAAATTTGAAAAATCAGCCAGGTGTGAAAGGTGGGGTGGGAAGCCATGTGCCTGTGGTCCTAGCTACTGGGAAGGCTGAGGGGAGAGGATCACTGGAGCCTAGGAATTCAAGGCTGCAGTGAGCTATGGTCATGCCACTGCACTCCCGCCTGGGCAACAGAGTGACACTCTGTCACTTAAAAAAAAAAAAAGGCTGGGCGCAGTGGTCACACCAGTAATCCCAGCACTTTGGGAGGCAGAGGCGGGTGGATCACGAGGTCAGGTGTTCAAGACCAGCCTGGCCAACATGGTGAAAACCTGTCTCTATTAAAAATACAAAAATTAGCCATGCGTGGTGGCATGTGTCTGTAGTCCCACCTTCTTGGGAGGCTGAGGCAGAAGAATCACTTGAACCCGAGAGGTGGAGGTTGCAGTGAGCCAAGATCGTGCCACTGCACTCTAGCCTGGGCAACTGAGCATCTCAAAAAAAAAAAAAAAAAAAAAAAAAAAAAAAAAAAAAAAAAAAAAAACCAACCAAGCAAAAAAAAATTTACTAATGTCCCTCAGGTTCTTCCATATGAGGTAAAGGGATCCAAGATTAAGGTTGAAATTCTTAAACTGTTGAAAAATTTTGTGGTGTCATCAAAAAGGAATATTTTACATATATTAATTTCGCCTCAATGATCAACATTGTTAAAAGTCAGTATGGAGAAAGATCATTCTGACTTCTTCAGAAACCAGCTGGTATATGAACACTCTGATCATCACATTGTTTCAAAAACGTGATCTTTTCACCATCGTCCTTATGTCACAAAATAAAAGTTCTATTTTCTATGTACTGTATATATACATATATTTAGAAAAATATATAAAAATAAGACAATAAGAGGCAAGTGGAGGTGTGGCTGGCATTTAGTGGGCACACTGAATGCTTACAGAAGTTCCACATATTGATTCTGAAATCATATGATGTCCTACTTAGGTGGCTACAGTGAACACTGATGTGACAAAATCGTTCACATCCTGGTTCCTGTTCCCTAAACCCTCCATACCGTGGATGTGAATGGACACACTCTGGTAAAACACGCATCTTAAATGCAATACTTTAAATATAATATATCACAGATTTTTACATTAAATAGAAGAAAAACAATTATACTCTCATTCACCAGTGTCTTATTTTTTTGTGGCAACTTCAGAATCGGCACGTTACTCCTGCTTTCTGTGTAAACTTCTCAAGGAGCAGAAGTTGGAACAACAAACAATAGACCATCTGTTGCCTGTTGTATATACTGTGAGTATTTGGAAAAGAAAGCAGGAAAGAGACTAAGCACTCCTCATGTTCATCCAGGTGCTATGGTCAAACGTTTGAGTCTTCATCTGTAATGCTGGCACTGGGGGAACGGGCAGCAAAATCTTTAAACATGTCATCTTCTTTTAACATGTGCTGGAAAACAAGGAGACAGGGAGTCACACTGAGAGCCATGAGCTCAGAACTACACATTCTCCAAGAGACATGAGGTCTTTTGGGGTTGTTGTAAAAGACATTTATAGAACAACATTTTCAATTCATTTCACAAACTCACTGTCAGGTTGTTGATGCCTTCAGAGAATGCACCTATCTGTCTCACTGTCCCTTCTGAATCTTCCATCTGCAAAGAACAAACCAAAATGTGACATATGTGTTTTCACAATTTCAGGGAAAGTGCAGCAAGAGAAACAAGAATCTAAGAAGAAATCATGCAAATAGCACTGAACGGGGTAGGAGCAACAGAACACTTCTGGTGATAATCTCCTCTCACTACTGCAATCAGAAGTGAAAAATCAGAAGAGACACTTTACTGACACAGCTAGTCTAATGCCTTTGCTAACAGTACCAAAGGATTGTTTATTGGAGTGGAAATATGCACTCCCACAACTTGAATCTGAAAACGCTGCATAGAATAACCTGTCCATTCCTAACATGTTTTAATACAGAGATGGCATAACACAGGTAAATATCACAGGCTTTGGAGCCAGAGTGACAGGTTGAAGACCTTGGGCAAGTTACTTAGCTCTCTGTCTCAGTTTTCTTATCTCCAAAATGAGAATAACAACACTATCCATGTCTTAAGGTTACCATAAACATACATTAAGTGCTTAGGATGGTACCTGGAACATATAAGCCATCTCCAAGTGTTCACTATTTTTTATTAACATCTGTATTTTTAGTTATTTGAAAAAAAATCCCCCATCAGACACAGCATACAAAGTTCCCGTTTAGTGTCTGAATGCTGGAAGCACTTGAAAAAGGTATCCAGTATTGGACTTACCTGCTCTAACCGGTCCAAATCATCTTCATCATACAGGCGCATATCCAAACCAGCTTTAAATCCTTTCTTAGATGCACTTCCTGATGCCTGTCCCAATTCCATTGGACAAACATATTCTTCACCATCTTCCTGTTTCTTCTTTCTCAAATTCCCAAAATTGCTAAAGGCAAGTTTCTTTGGCTTTGAAAGAAAAGCAAACAAAAACATCCAAAGGATCTGATGAAATTCATATAATCAAGGACTGATAACATGTAATTTTTTTTGCATCACTACTCTCCCCTACATGTGTAATTTAATTATTTACCCCATGTAGAAAGAAAAGTAACTGGATGTTTAAATTTGTATAAAAAAGAAAGGGCATCCTAGGCATACAAATGATGCAATGATAAATGATCCTTGTTATGAATCTCAGAAAATTAATCTTATTCTTCTTATTCATGTCAACTAGCTGGATAGTCACTGTCTGGAGTGGCTCCAAACTCCTGGTCTCAAGAGATCCTCCTGCCTCAGCCTCTGGAGTAGCTGGTACTACAGGCACATGCCACTGCACCTGGCTTCATTGTTCTTATTAGACAGGCCTTAATGCAATGAGATTTCTAGGGTTGAGTCCAATTTTGCAAGGTTTTTCAATCTAAGATTAGCAAAATAAAATGGACCTTACTATATTTTTTCTTGGGCTGAGGCTATGATTATCTTGTGTGTCTATTCTGCTTCCATAACAGAACTGGTGATTGCTAAAAGAATTTTTTGGAGAGAAAACTTCAGTGAAACTTAGAAGAGAAACTCCATCTTGGTCATTGGATGACTCAGGCAGATAGCAAAAAAAAAAAAAGTAAAAAGAACTTGGCACAAATTTCTGGAGGACCTGATAACCCATCAAGTTGGGTGAGATAACATATTTAGAAGACTTAATCCAGGATTAATTTAAAAGAAGAAAAAGTAATCTGAATTTGGTATGATCCATAAATCCAGGTAAACTAGGAAATATCCATTCTCTTCTGGTCCACTTCTTAAGTATCTTTTCCTGTTTACAAGGCTGGTCAATTGTAAGCCAGACAAGCTGAATCTGTACAAGAGAAATCTCTCTTCTATACTTGACTTATAAAAACAGAACAACTGCAATCAATATTTGAACCCAAGTTATGGGCTCTCTGCACTACCAGTGCATGGGTTTTGGAAGCCAACATCATGCTCTTCATTATTATTTTTTGAGAGACAGGATCTGGCTCTGTTGCCCAGGCTAGAGTGCAGTGGCATGCTCATAGCTCAATCATAGCTCATTGCAGCCTCAAACTCCTGGTCTCAAGTGATCCACCTGTCTTGGTCTCCTAAAGCACTGGGATTACAGGTGTAAGCCACCATGCCTGCCTAAGAGGGAGCACTCAAAAAGGGACTCGAACCCTGGACCTTCAGATTAAAAGTCTGATGCTTTACTGACTGAGCTATCTGGGTGCATTCTCTTAATTACTATACTTTTAAAAGATATATACTCAGTTATCCCTCAGTATACATGGAGCATTAGTTCCAAGACCCTCATGTATACCAACATCTGTACATGGTTCAGCAGTACCTGTGTACCTAAAAAGTCGAAGCTCTCTATATGTGGGTTTTGCATCCCTCCACATTTGCTTGGGAAAAAAAAAAAAAAAAAAAAAAAAACCTAAGTAGGAGTGGACCTGTAAAATGCAAACTCACGTTCTTCAAGGGTCAACTGTTCCTTCAGCTTGTCAGAATAGGCAGATAGCTAGATATGAGGGGAAGCCCATGAGAAAAGAGTGGTCTGGAAAATCTCACACCCCAGAAACCACCCAAAACATGCATGTTAGAGATGAGCAGAGAGGAGGAGAAACACCCATGCAGAAAGAAACACCCCTTAAGATGCCCAGTAATCTCACAGAGTGAGCGATTACTGGGCATCTCAAGGGGCGTTTCACCTGCCAGAATGTAGCTAGCTGCATGCTGACAAAGAGGAGAAGAGGGCAAAGGAGAAATTCCTAAGATAAATGCAGATACATACAATACATATAGATTTGACTGCTACACAACCTTTTGGGGGCGGCGGGAAGGAGCAATGCAGCTTTTAGGTAGAACTGTAGCCAATACCCAACCCACGCATGCGCACCAGCTACAGTAAGGGAGGGTCCTACAAACCTGGGATGGGAACTAGGCAGGGAAAAGGTGAGGACTTAAGGCAGGAGCGGGAAAATGAGATGAAAAAGACAGAGACTTAACACAGAGGCGAGAGCTTCAAGAAAAAAACTGGACATCATAAAAACCCAACACAGAACTCTTGGGTTCATTCTCTTTCAGCAGCTCACTGTGCCTTGGTTTTCGGAGTGCACTGTCCCTTTAAATAAGCATCGTTACTGTGACCCTGCTGTTTTCCTGGCAGGATCAGCTCCTGTACTTTTTTTTTTCCTACAATAAGCTCTTTGCTCCCTATTTCCCTTCAGTAAAGCTCTCTGCTATCTGCGAACTGTCTCTTGGCCAACATCTTTCTCCTAAGCCAACTAAGCACTGAGGATTCCTGCATTTGCTGGACAGGAACCCATCCACAAAACTTAGTAAACCCCAGAAAACAGAATAACCAGGTAACTGACACAATGTGGTCTTTGCACCAAGCAATTATTAAACTGTACGAGCCTGAACCAACCTTCACTTTGGCAGTAGCTGTTAGAAGGACATAATCTGGCAGCTCCATGGCATCTCGCTTCTGGTGCTGGGCCTCAGCCCCGATCAGAAGGTTGAAATGAGTGGCCAAATGTCTTCGCAGCAAAGTCTTATTTGGTGGGATGTTCAATAACTGAGCCATTGTTTCTACATTAAAACGAGGTTCTAGAACCTGTTAAAAAAATTAAGCTTGTCAAAAGTCACCATAAATCATACATGTTTGTATGGTGCTTTATAATTTGCAAAGCTCTTTCACTTAGGTGATCTCCAGTGATCCTCTCAACAGCCCGGTGAGGTAAACAGGGTATGGACTTCGATCTTTAATTTGCATATCTTTTCTCCATTTTGCCCAAGTTAGTGAGTGATAGAGCTGGTACTCAAATCCAGGCTTCAGGCATCCCAATATCAGTGCTCTCTACCTCTTTGGGGTGCAGTCCGTGACAGCCAACTCCTTATGCAACATCAATGTGCAGAAATACAATCTGCATCCTTGCAAGCGTTTTCAAACATGATCACATGAGAGACAGCAGCTACGTGTTACTCAACATGAAGGGGACGATAAAAAAGAACTGGCTTTAAATCCAATCTGGAGTTATATGATATCAATACAAATACTCTGAAAGGAAAGATTTACTAGAAATAGTGCAGGAGGGTTGGGTCAGATGACTTTAGGATTATGGTAAGCACAAACTGATAATATCCTACTCACTAGACTGATGGAAACAAAATAAGTCAATTTGAAACTAAATCAGACCCTTACCATGAGCCCGCCATGGACGCCACTGCCTCTGAGATTGGGGGCATATTCTGCCAAGTCCACGGAACGCAGCCACTCCATCACTCGATGGTTCGTCCACTTCTGAACTTCTGATGGGGTGATGCTATTCTATAGGAACACACAACAGGATCCTAAATATTAAATTGCATTTTCTGTCTAAAAGGTCTGGTCCACAGAGAACAGTTACTCAACATCCCACTAAATGCATAAAGAAAAGGAAAAATTTTCTTTCTCTAACCTAGGCTGGAGTTGCAGTGGTGTAATCAGGGCTCACTGCAGCCTCCACCTCCCAGGCTCAGGTGGATCCTCCTACTACAGCCTGCTGAGTAGCTGGGACAATCAGCGTGCACCCACCATGCCTGGCTAATTTGTTACTATTTTTGTAGAGACAGGGTCTCCCTATGTTGCCCAGGCTTGTCTCCATCTCCTGTGCTTGAGTGATCCTTCTGCCTTGGCCTCCCAAAGTACGGGATTATAGGCATGGGCCACTGTACTTATCCAGAAAAGGAAGTCTTTGTAGATATTTATCTCTGTGGATTAGGGAGTCAGGAAATGGAAGAAAGCATACAACCAAGAAAAGGAAGAAGCACAAGTAAAAAAGAATGCTTGGCTTTAGTTACACAAGTGGAACCACCATGGAGAAAAAAGGAAAAAATACAGAAAAAGCCTAAGAAGTAAATGAGGCTGGATTTTAAGCCTGCAAGAAAAAATAGCTCTTAGTTTCACACACATGGACAGTCCCATGCCTGGGAAGTGCATGCTTACAAACCTCAATATTAAAATGCTACCTCATCAGATGGCCGCCTCCGTAGACAATTTGGTTCAAAGTTATTGATTCTCAGGACCTGGATGGCCCTTTTGATACTGAGATGGTGTAGCACACTCACAACCTTCAAAGACAGTAAGTCATCCTGCAAAAAAGAACAAAAGGAGGAGCTCACTGTGCTGGCCTGTAGCTGAGGACTTTCTTAGGGAATCTCAGAAGACTGGAGTAAGAGGAGAAGAGCCCTTCAAACCAATATGCCCCAAGGGCTTGTCAGAGTTCTCAAAGCTTTTATACAGTAACAGAACTCACTTTTCCATTTGGAACCACTTTCCCAAAACCCCAAATTAGTATTTTTGCCAATGAAGCTGGCTTCCACCTGTTTCTCTCTCTTCCAGATGCTCTGAGACAGGACTGTAAGACCCCACAGCTCTGAAAAACATAGTTTGAAAAGCACTTGCTGGGTCACTACAAAAGGTGATTTGCTTTGACTTGATCTGTACATACCATAAATAGGGAATGCCTTTGTTTCCTCTTTAGTTTTGAAAACTTTATCTGCAAATAAAGCACATAGGCATTGACTAAACTGCCCTCTCTATTTCCTTTCAGCAGATAGTGAAGAGCAAACAATGCTCGCAGATGAACATGATCAGGGCTTGGTTTTCTCTTTTCGTCTTTTTTTTTTTCGGAGAGACAGGGTCTCACTACGTTGCCCAGACTCTTTCAAACTTCTAGGCTCAAACAGTCATCTGGCCTCAGCCTTCCAAAAAGGTGGGATTACACACAAGCCACCATTCATAGCCAAAGCTTGGTTTTCTGAACTAAAGCACATCATAGTTTTGGGGAAAATCAGAAGAGTGCTCTTGTTATGCTATTCCCTGATCATAATAATTCTCTAGTTCTAGATTTTTTTTTAGTAAGGACCTGTTTGCTATTGAATAGCTCTAGATTATAATGGTTTATCTAGAAAACACTGTGAACCATTTTGGAAAAACTGTAACAACCAGTGCAAAGGTTTTGGTCAGAATTACGGAGAGAAAAAAATGAAGTTATAAGTATCACATATATATATATTACCAATCAACCCCTTCAAGGAAGAATTTTCACCAGGCTGTGGCTCTTGGGAATATTTTCAAATATAGCAAACACACCAAAACAAATTCTTTCAGAAGAGGTGATATTGCGGGCAGTGTCAAGATAAACACCAGTCTACTTCCAAGCACACCCAGAAAATAAACAAGGAAAACGTCTATCTTCTGATAAAACATTTCTTGTGAAAAAAAGAAAAAAATGTGATCTACTACAGAAATAATGAATACAAATATTAATTAGTTTAAATCCTTCAGGCTACTAGCTGGGAAAAAATTATTTCCTAAATTTTTTTCTGGATTAATTTCTAAAAAGTAGCGCCCTAAGTCAGAAGAAGTATTTATTTTAATGTAAGATTGAGACACCCATTCCAAACACTTCAATGTAGGCTATTTTCATCTAACTAAAGTCTAACAGCTTTAAAAAATATCTGAATGCACAATGTTTACAGTGTGATTAAAATGTTAATTATTTTTGAAATTCTTTATACTTTTAAGGATTTTTAAGAGTTCTTTTATATCAAAACAGACTTTCTGGGTGATTTTCTTCTTAATTTGGATTTTTAAAAACTTTTTATTTTAAAATAATTTTAAATCTGTGGACGAGTTGCCAAAGATAGAATAGAATTCTGTATACCTTTCACACGGCTTCCTCTAATGTTAACGTCTTACATAATCACGATTACACTCATCAAAACTAAGAAATGAACATAGACGATAAGACAATCAACTAAACTGAAGACTTTATTCACATTTCACCAGCTTGTCCAGTAAACTCTTTTTCCTGTTCTTGGATCTAATCCACATTAAAACATATATTTTGTGACTTAGGACTTCTGGGGTCAAATTTTCCAGGGTGATTTACTCTTTTAGAGCCATTTCACAGACTTGTGATTTTAAGCTTGAATTTGTTCACATTGTCGGGGGGAACATACTCACACTTAGATAGGAAGGCAAATATTTACTCAATGGGTTACAGTTATAATTGTGAGCTATTAAAAGCAGGGATCTTGAAACAGCCTGAGTTCAAACTCTCTATGACTTTCTATTGCTAATTGCGGAAACATGGTTACCAAGTTACCCAATCTCTGGATTCCTTCCTTTATACGCGTAAAAAAAGTAGGGATAATAATGTTATAATACTATAGATACACAGAGTATATGTGTGTGTGTGTGTGTGTGTGTGTGTGTGTATGTGTATCTACACACACATATGTGTATGTGTATATACATACACACACATAATCTATGGTATTATATGTATATAATACTATCTCTATATAGTACTATATAATTATATTGTATATATATGAACAAATTCAAGCTTAAAATCACAAGCAGTTTATGTGAAATGGCTCTAAAAGAGTAAATGACCCTGGAAAATTTGACCCCACAAGTCCTAAGTCACAAAATATGTGTTTTAATGTGGATTAGATCCAGGAACAGGAAAAGGAGCTTATTGGACAACCTGGTGAAATGTGAATAAAGTCTTCAGTTTAGTTGATTGTATTGTCATCTATGTTAATTTCTCAGTTTTTATGAATGTAATCATGATTATGTAAGATGTTAACATTAGAGGAAGCAGAGTGAAAGGTATACAAAATTCTATTCTATCTTTGGCAACTCCTCCATAAATCTAAAACTATTTTAAAATAAAAAGTATTAAAAACATGTATATATAGTATACACACTATAATAATAGTAATATTAACTAAAAGGGTTGTTGAGAATCCAGTATTAATATGAGCAAAATGCTTAAAAGAATGTTTGACACATAGTAAATGTGCAACATACTACACACATTCACATTATTTCACACAGGTTTAAGTGATGTGCCCACGAAGGTAAGGGCTTGGGTTCAATGGTAGGGAAGAAAAATCCATGAACTGAACTCCAAGTTTTTTTAATACTGAGAAATGCCTACTTAAATTGGCTGTTTAAAACTTTCCACTCATTTGAAAAAGATACACTTCTGGTAGTTGGGTTGAAACCCATCATCTTCACCAAAAATACAAAAATTAGCTGGGCACAGTGGCACACACCTGTAACCCCAGCTACTCAGGAGGCTGAGGCAGGAGAATTGCTAGAACCCGGGAGGTGGAGGTTACTGTGAGTCGAGATTGCACCACTGCACTCTAGCCTGGGTGACAGAGTGAGACTCCATCTCCATGAATGAATGAATGAATGAATGAATGAATGAATTTAAAGTAGAATATTAGTAGTGGCGTGGAATCTAAAACAAGGGTCTCCTGGAATCCATCTTTCCCACTGCTGTAAAGCAGGAAATAGTCGTATACATTGGCTGGAAGGCAGAAAGTACAATAATGAAGGAACCAGATAAAAGTCTGGCCTTCCTCCCTTCTCCGTTAACCCCAGTAACTCCTGCTGTGGCAGAACCAGGCTGAAGTGAGATGGGTCATAGGGTTTCAGGTAACAGTTGTTCAAGGAAGAATGGAAGGGAGAAGACAAGATCCTGAAGATGTCAGGTCAAAAGGGTAGCCTCTTCCAAATGGTCACTGCACATAGAAACATATAACTTAGAGACAGGTTGGGCTTCAAAACTCTACATTCTATTTAAAAAATATCTTTAGGCCAGGTATGGTGGCTCATGCCTGTAATCCCAGCACCTTGGGAGGCTGAGGCAGGCAGACTGCTTGAGGTCGAGTTTGAGACTAGCCTAGGCCAATATGGCAAAACCCCATCTCTACTTAAAATACAAAAAATTAGCTGGGTGTGGTGGCATGGGCCTATAGTCCCAGCTACTCGAGAGGCTGAGGCAGGAGGATGGCCTGAACCTGTGAGGTGGAAGTTGCAGTGTACCAAGATTGTATCACTGCACTCCAACCTGGGTGACAGTGTGAGACTCCATCTCAAAAGAAACAAAAAAGTAAAAAATATATTTATGAGATATAATATGCATACCAGAAAATGTACCCAATTAAAGTGTACACTTCAGTGTTTATATAGTTGAATATATTACATACAAAATCAACCTTCTGAAGAGCTTAAATTAGGCTTCCCTTTACTTACATTGGTGTTTCAAATTATCCCAAGGCTGTTGCAATCACAATCACCAAGTGCTACAACTTCAAATATGCTCGCCACTCCCCTCAATTCAAGCAACACCTTCAAACTCTGGTGGAATCACTGAAAACACTGTGGTTGCCCTACTCAATTTCTGTGTTTTTCAGAGAAAAAAGTTTTCCTCCCCCAAACCCCAGGAGTGAGCCACTTACAACAGTCATGTAGTGTAGCATTCGACCATCGACCCGTCCTTCATCAAACTGGGTCTTATACTGAGGGAGGCCAATATCATCCAACCATCCTAAAAGAGAGAGAAGCCAGTGTTGTCACCATGCCACAAAACATCTGTTCTTGTGATTAAAAGGAAAAAGCAGCTATGCACATAATTATTTTATTTTGTTAGAATAAAAACTTCTTACTAGTGACCCAGTTGAAATCCAGCTTCCCATGATTAGTTTCTTCTTCAGATCCCAGGGCTTGTAGTGCCAGCTGGAGCTTCTTTCGATGAAGTGAATGCTTGATTCCAAGTTCCTGAAACAATAAACATTGACTTTATAACTCTATCTGTATAGGCTGGGTGCCACTGGCAAAGGATGCAAAGTTCTCCAAAATGAAGCTAACGCTAAAGGCCCAATTCAATATTAAATTACAATACTAACTTGGTCTAAGAAAATGTTGTTGAACAAAAGGTCCCTGAAAAGCCAAGCCCACCACAATTAGCTTAGTGATGTGTTAGGTATTCCCCAGTAACTTATTTTCTTTGTAAGCTAGGAACTATAGCATGCATAAAGAGAATTTGACTCTTACTTTGTGCAAAATACTATAATTGGAAAGAAATTTTAAATAATTAGACATAAATTGTAGGGTATGTTTTTTTTTTCCTTTTGCAAAGTGAAATGAATTGCATATATTACATTGAGAAAATAGGCCAATGATAAAGCCATACAATGATTTTGAGAAATATGAGCTTAATTATTCTTCTGTAATTATTTTTCATTAAAATGCCCCATGGCTTAAGTGTTCCATAAGGAATCATCAAGACCAGGTCCTCCCAAGACCATCTGAAAAAATAAGCATAAAGCAACTGAAAACCAAACCTTTTGTTTAGAGAGTATTTACTGGCTTCACTCATGGCCCTTTCTGGACTATAACACAACCCTACATTCATATTGTCTTCTTCTCAGTACCAATTGCGTAATCAAAACAGAGAAGCAATCACCTTCTCTAGATCTTGTTGAGAAGCCTGCAAAAGCGTTTGGCCAGACGCAATCCACTGCTTGCCAGAATTCAGGTAGGAGCCCAAGCCCTGTTCCATGAGCCAATTGCAAACCTGCTCCTTGGTCCACTTGGCAAATGGCATATCCAAGTCACTACAAAAAAATGAGTAATTGCACGAAAAATAATCCAAAGCCAATCCTGTGGCTTATACATTCAATAGACATAGAAGTTCCCTGGTGATACACAGTTGACCATGAAAAGCTTAATTTTTTGCATACATTGAAGGAACGAGTGGTATTGGAGTTGAAAGTTATCTTCTAAGACCACTGTTTTCATTTCAAATGAAACCACAAAAGATTTAATGTGATAGAGCAAGTTCCACAGAAAAAGACTAAGTTGGACAAAGATAAATCATTGTATTAGTTTCAACCAATGTTGTTTGAAGTTTGGATTTCCAAACAGGAAGCTCAGTTGGATTGAAAGAAACTTAAGCCTAATTTGTTAACTTCAGGTTTCTTTCCATATGGTAACCAATGAGAAGAGGGCAGTGTGTTGTCACTGAGTGCAGGAAACAATAATCAAAGCAAAATTCCTGTTTTCTTTTACCTAGATACACGAATAGTGTTCCTGTTCTGGGGTGGGGGCAGGGTGCACAGGAGGAAATGAACATGTGGGTTTTTTTTGTTTTTGTTTGTTTTTTAAATAGCACTAGGAATTCTAGTGTGTTCAAAGACAGCATATGGCAAATGAAACTGTTTGGTATTTGAAGAAGGCCAAAGAGAGTTTCCTCCTTGATGAAACTTGCGTCCAGTGTTCCACCCATATGGGCGGGTCTGTATTTAAAGGGTTTCTAGCCTATAATTCTGTTAAAAGGTTTGTTACGAATGACTTGTACTTTATGTTTGCCAACCCCACCCTTTTATGCTCAGTGAGTCGATGTGGTAGTTCCAAGCCAGCCCTAAACTTCGATAAGAGTGTCGGAGCAGTTCTCAAAGTCTTAATGGATAAAATATTATATAGTCTTGATAAATATAAGAATTCTGAGAGAATTTTTGTCTTTAAGTGCTTTCATAGATTCTGTTGTATACTATGTCTCTTGAGCAGTTATTATGTGCCAAATATTTAACACATATTAACTTATTTAATCTTCACACTCAGCTTTTGGGGTAGGTACTAATGATGATGATGAGAGAACTGAGGCACAGGGCATGGAAGCCATTGCTCAAGGTCACCCAGTTGGTAGAAAATGGTAAAGCCAGAAAGCAAATCCAAGTGGTCTGATTCTAGAACATACTCTTAACCATTATGCTATCCCATCTTTCTAAAGCTATGCTTTAGAGTACTTACAATTACCATCTATGTAGAATTTAAGTCTGAGAGCCATTCTAACACAGATGCTGTTGATGCTTTAGCTCTGGTCCCTCCCCTAGCTCACAAAGCCCTCACCTTCTGTATGTTCATTAACCATGGACAAATTGCACTATTCTAAATATGATGGCTCCTTTCACTAGGACAGCATTAAGTAATGGCTTTGTTCAACCCCATGACAGTACTAACTTTGGAGGACTCGTAAGGTCATGATGCTTCATCAGTTGGCTGTTCTCACCTGTTAGACTGTCCCAAGTCTCGAGACCAACCCAGTCGGGGCCCTGCAGTTGCCCTTGTACCTCCTCTTTTGAATTCGGACTCAGATATGTCATCTGGGTTGAATGTAGTTGATTGACTTCTCCTAAGTCTGTAGAAGACATAACACACGCGGCCAGTATTAGACCTGAGGAGGCCTTAGACTTGCTAATCACAGCATTTTTAACTAGTGCAGCTACTGGAACTAATCCTCTTTGTGTCGTTAATATAGACATTTAAGTTTAAACTTTAACTAAGACCCCGTGAGTTAATAAATCCCACATCACAATCCAAACTTTCTTCCATAAGAGGAATACAAAGGCCTTACAGGCTCATATCCATTTTCAGCCACTTTTAAGCAACATATAAGACAGGGCCCATTCCACTTGTTCACTGCTTTACTTACTTTCCAAAGAGTTTCATGATACCTCTGGATTTCTTTTTGGAATCTGGAGATGGAGGCGGTATCTGGAAGGGACTGTTCCCCTGTGAATCTTTTGGCGGAGAAGAAGCACCAGCCAGGTCTAGGTGCTCTGCTGTCTCTTTTTCTGTCTCAGCTACTCCAAGAGCAGAATAAAGACAATGAATGTTAAAATATGGAATGAACATGATAAGATATTAATCTCCTTGGTTTTAGAACTGTTAAGAATTCTTCCATTGTTCTATAAATCAGTGATTTACAAAGAGCACCTTGTATATATTAAAAATGGAACACACATGTTCTGTTCCATAGTTTACAGTGTAAAGTTAATAAAATTACAACCCCTTTGGTGATTAAAAGAGGGCGAGAGGATTGTCATATTCTTTCCTTGAGTGATTTGAATTCATAATGGAATTATTCTCAATCTTTCCACAGCACATAGTACTGTTGATTACCTCCTACATCCTTCAAAATCATTTCCTTTTGCTTTTTGCCATGACAGTCTCCTACATCTGTCATCTGACAGTGTCTCTGCTGTAGTACCTCTGCTTTTTTTCCTTCCCCATGCCACTTTAAGATTCTGTTCTAAGTGCCCTCTAGAGGATCAAAATCTCTGGGCCTAATCTCTCTCTCCAGGCTCTATATCTAAATGCCTGTAATATTCCCAATTCAGTGTGTTGGGACATCTGGGACTTCACAAACTCATCCAATTTCCCTGAGAGTCTTTTCCTCTCTTAAATGTTCTTATTTGATATTTGGTTAATACTAATACTGTCCCTATTGATCTAGCTCAAACTTCATATCATTTTCCTTTTACTCCTTCTTCTTCTTTGGCACTTACATCAAATCAGTTACCTAGTTCAAGCAATTCTTTATTTATGAAATGTATTCCAATCTATTGTATCCTAGGCACTAAGAGTAAAATGAATATGCATACATTTTTCTTTTGATATAAAGTGCCTGTTGATTTTACCTTAAAATAATCACATCCACAATTGCCACTCTCAGATCTCCAAACATTAACTATTTTAGTTCTTTTAGCTGTCCTGTAGTGGACAATCCCATACTAGCAAACACAAGGGCTACTGTTGTCTTCAGTGTGAGATTTTATGCTTTATAAAGGAAAGTAAAAGTTGTACTAAAATCACAGGAACAGTGTTTCAGCAAGATCTACAAGTTGCAGAAAGCTGGTTTTTCTACAAAGCAGGGCTGTGATTACAGGTTATAATAAGCAGCATTTACCTCTTAGCATTAACAATACAGTTCTTCTAAGAAAGATGCAAAAAACTATTTGAAAATAGTTATCTGAATAGATCAGTTTATTTTATGCATCCAGTGTTCATTCTAGACATTTAAATCCACAGAGAGAGAAGTCCCGTTTGCTGGTCCATGTGAATAGATAGGTGGATATCTATATAAGGTAACAGCACCTATTGGAAAAACCCAAAGGAACTTTTCCAATTCATATTCTTCAACCATGATGGGTACAGGTGCCCCTGAAAATGCTGCCTGGCTTATCCTCATCTTAAAACCATCATATTTCTCTTTTTTATTTTGAGAACTTTTTTTCCCAGTTGTCCCCTGCCTTACAAAGAGGAAAACTGAGCTGTCCCTCTTCTAAAATCACTTTGGGAGCAACTCCTCAGATATCAAGTAAAGCTGCTTCTGTCATCACTGAATATTATCTCCATCTTCAAAGTAATAATATGTCAGAATAATGTTCCCCTAAGAGAAGTAAGCCTAAAACTATAATATTCAATGTCTTCTATAAACATCCTTATTTGTCTAAACACATTTCTTTTTGGAGGCTGGGGGAAATGTAAGCATGGAGAATGGATGGTAAGGATCTGGGAGTTAGTGTGTGGTAATGTGCACTTCAAGGCTGCAAGAGCTGTAATGTACAATGCCAGGACATTCCTGCCCTGCACTCTGAGGGATGCTGCACACATCTAGGTCCTCTCAAAGCTACTCACACAGTGAGTGTTACCAGCATTGGTTAAAACAGCATTTAGGCTTAGAAGCAAAGCCTCTACAGAATCGTTTTTAGCAGAAGGTAGAGAGAACACTCTGGAAGAGAAAACTACATTTTCTGATTGCTGTCAGATTGCTTTCTAGAGCTCACAGACGCCAAGAGCAGGGATTAGATTGGTTTGGAGCACAGTGCTGACAAAGGCTGGCATGCAGGGGTACAATACCTAAGGTGGGTGCACTGGCACTTCGTTTACGATCTTCAGATATCCCAACAATGCACACAATCACACGCAGCCCAATGGAGAGAACACAGAGATGACAAAATGAAACACAGATCAGACTCCTCCTTGCCAAATACACACTGTCGAGGAGAGGCATGCACCACACTGTGCTTCTGATGTTACACACAGGCTCAATGTCAGTGTTAATTTATCCACTATCACAATAGATGGGAAATGCCATGATGAAGTCAAAGGGAATCATGATTTTAGGTCTTTCCACTAAGTTTATATCACAGGAGAGAGCAGGGTGAGAATCTATATATCTTCACAACACTAAATTAAATTCACTGAGGCATTTTTTGTTAATTTCCCCCTAAGTCATTCAAAAACATTTCTGAGAAAAAGAAATGAATCAATGAATGAGGGAATAAGGGAAGGGAAGACACTGCTCTTTTCCTCCTTCTGGAAGAATTAGGGCAAAGGCATTTTGGCCACACATACCCAAGTTTGGTGCACTTGCTGTTCTCTTGTTACTTTTGATTTTAAAAAAGCCCCGGCCAAAGGAAGATCTGACTTTTCGAGTGCCGAAGGGGTTGTCGTCCACGGAGGTGACCTGCCCTGGGGGTCTGGGAGGCAGGGTCCCAGATGGCCTGCTTTCTGCTGGAGCTCTGTCCTGAAAGGCAGATAAGAATAGTGAAACAGCTTTCAGGTGCAGCATCCTTAGCACACACCAGGCTAACAGCAAATACTCACGCCACATCCATGAGTTTATTTAAAAGGTAACTGAACTAACACATTGATTACCAATGTCAAATGCCTTATCACAAGTTGAAAAAAAATCAGTTCTGAAAGCTACTTAAGAAAGAACAACAACAACAACAAAAAAACCATGTTCATCGCTAATCTAGAATTAATATGTTTAGGGCTTTAAATATTTAGGATACAAAAATTCTTAAATTTTGTTTGCATCATTCCTCAAAAGACATGGAGATATCATATAACCAGAATAATAGCAGCAGATTTCTGACTTTTCTAACAATTATGATACAGATTTAGCTATAATACAGTTATATTCTTATAACTATGCTGATAGAAGCCCAATATAATATAATTATTCTACAAAGCAGGCATTAGTCCGAACTTCTATGCCAGCAGTATAAGAAGATTCTACTCCAGTTATTTTAAATATTCTCCTCAAAAATAATAAAATGAAGGCACAGTGAGCAACTTCATTTTGAGCTTTTCAGTTCTTTGAATTGGTGATTAGAGCTGGGTATAACATAGTATGTTATATTGTTTTAGTATTATTCAAAGATGCTTTGCCTAGACCAATGTCCTGAAGTGTTTCCTCTGTGTTTTCATCTAGCAGTTTCATAGTTTCGGGTCTTATATGCAAGTTCTTAATCCATCTTGAGTTGATTTTTGTTGATATGGTGACAGGTGGAGTCCAATTTCATTCTTCTACATATGGATATCAAATTTCCCCAACACCATTTATTGAGGTGGGTGTCCTTTTCCACTGTATGTTCTTAGCACTTTATACAAGGATGCTTTTGTCTGCTTGCTCTCATTTCTCTAATAATTCTTGCCCTCTGCTTCCTTTTTTGCAGAAGTAGAGAGAAGGGTGAGGATATAGATATTTTAGGTGGTTGTTTTACTCTATATATCTGCAGATCATAGAAACTAAAAGTTTATAGATGGCACAATTTAATGGTATTACTATTCACGGCTCAACAATGACATCCAAATCATTTAACCATTTATTGAACTGAGAGGACAAAAAGGACTCTAATTATAGCTGTCATCACTGGCTGCTTTGTCAATCCTATCCACATATGACTCAGGTACTAAGAGCCAACAGTCAAGAGAGTCCATCTGGAAGTAGCCTATCAGGCTATAATCTTTGCAAGGTTAATGACAGAAAATCAGAGGACAGAACTGGGGCAGTGGCTCATGCCTGTGATCCCAGTGCTTTGAAAGGCAGAGTTGGGAGGATTACTGGAGCTCAGGAGTTCAAGACCAGCCTCAGCAACATAACAAATCTCATCTGTACTTAAAATAATAACAATAAAAAAAATCCCAGTATGGTGGTGCATGCCCGTAATCCCAGCTACTTGAAAGGCTGAGGTAGGAGGATCACCTGAGCCTAGGAAACAGGCTACAGTGAGTTATAATGGCACCACTGCACTCCAGCATGGACAACAGAGCGATACTATCTCAAAATAAAGGAAAGAAAATCAGGGGAAAGAAGAATCAAGCACGTGTTGATGACATTTTGAAGCACACCAAAATGTTTGCTTTAGATGGACACTGGTTGTATAATCTAATGGTAATCTAAGAAGGGCTTTTAGGGACATCCAAGGAAGCTCAGTTATGGTCATTAAGAACATGAAGTAGCATGATTGGGAGATAATGGTTTTGTTTTTTAACTTATTGAAGTGACATTCACATAACAAAATTAACAATTTTAAAGTGCACAATTCAACGGCATTTAGTATGTTACAACGTTGTGCAACCACCACCTCTACCTGATTCCAAAACATTTCCATCATTTGAAAGCAAAACCCCTTCCCCTTAAACAGTTTCTCCCCATTCTTCCCTCCTCTCACTACTGGTAGCCACTGATCTGCATTCTATTTCTACAGATTTATCTGTTCTACATAGTTCACATAAATGGAATCATATCATATGTGAACTTTGTGTCTGGCTTCTCTCATTTAGCATAATGTTTTAGAGGTTCTGAAAGTTTTTATCTGCTGGAGACATTTTAGCAATTTGCATGTAATGGAAGTAGAAATATTTTGGCATTGTAATTTGGACAAAAAGTTACCTCTGAAGTCTTCTGAATAGATTCCTTTTCCTGTTCAAACAATAACAATATTTGAGGTTGTTAAGGAAATCTTTTATATAATCCTGAATTTGTCACATACAACTACATAAGTTAAAATAATTTTATATATACTTCTAAGCTACAAAATCTTAGTATCATTTATTTTCTAAAATGTTGTATTAAAGTCTCCATTTTTGGTTTTACATACTATTTTCAATCCTTCATATTCATACTTCTTAATATTTACAGTTAACTCTAATATCAAGTAATTTTCCACTAGGGAAACCACAAACTCTTCATAAGAGTTTTATTTGCAAAAAGGGAAAAGATGAAGATCCCTAAATATTTTTTTCTCCGGATAACAGACCAAAAACACCCAAGAACAACAACAACGCAGAACCCACCCCATCAGATGTCTCTTTCTTCAGATTGCCCAGGCTGCTGGACTTTTGCAGACTTGAAGTTCTAAAAATAACAGTAATAACAATTAAGATTAATAATATAAGTGGCTCTGGTGCCACTAAGTAAAACATCTTGGAAAGACACTAAAATTGTGTGTGGCTTGAATCCTGGTGATAAAAGAAAATCTGGAATCAGGCAGTCACTTATATGCTTAACTAAATGACTACATTTAGTTGTTTTAAAAGCAGGGGTGATTAACTGTCCTGCCAATAATTCTAGCCATCCTGCACATGTTAGAAGAGCTGGAAAAACATTTAGGACTAGGCTTGTGATGTCAATATTCAAAAATAAGCCAGTGCTTTCCATGGACTAGTGGTGTATCCTTTGCATGTATACATTTAAACTAGGAACTTTAAAAATACTCAAGCACTATTTACATCTAATCCTTCTAATTAAAATAAAGAATGAAGGTTTTACTTTTTAATTCACAAGTGAATCACTTTTCTGAGTCTCACAAAGCAATTCATTTTATAGTTCTAATTAAAGCATAGTAGAAGAATCCCTAATGCTGCCCATAATAATTCATTTGCTATAACAGTGAAGGCAACATGACATTATAAACATCCAGAGACTTTCTCTTTCACATAATTAGTATTCAATAGTATAGAGCTGGTGTTACTAAAAAATTGAAGGCAGAGATATGTGACCAGTTTAGAGAGAGAAAGTGACAGAAGTCATGTGTTTGGCTCTACGAAACAGAATATAAATATGTAAATTTACAAACTTTTAAAAGGCATTTCTTCTGTATTTATGTGTATACGTTGCCAGAAATATCAACTACCAAAATAAAGTAAAAGATAATATAGTGAGAAAAGAAAAATCTCATCTTTGAATACTGCTCTGAAAATACACTTTCCTAATTTAATCCAGACTTTAACTTGGATAAACATAGATATGAGGTCAGCTCACAAAACTGACAGTGCAAAAAACCCATCTCAGCTTTTCCCGCATCACATCATTCTCTGTGATGCCTTCCCACTGGACTCAAAATATGCCAGTACAAAAATGAATTAAAGCACTGAACTTCAAATGAAAACTGATGAAGGCAGGCTGAAGACCTGCAACATTCTGGCATGAGATAACAGCAAATGAGCAAGTATTTACTTGTAAACTTACAGCTCCCTGCCTTTACCCTCACCCAATTATTACAGCTGCATTAATTTATTCAGGAATTTAACAGCCTCAGGCATTTGCTGTTAATATTTAGTTATTGTTAGTATAACAGAACTCTCTTCTTTCTCAAGCCTCAATCACATATTTTACATTCAATAAAATATAACTTACAAAAGACTATCACGCAGTTGGGTATCAACAGTAGCACCAAGGATCATCTTCCCATCACTAAAATGTAAAGAATGAAAGGTAATTATTAACTTCATGAATAAAACATCATATATGTTATAAGTGAACGGGTATGTCAAAAACAAAAAATTGTGCAAAGGAAGCTATTTCTATTTTTTTAAGGTGTTCTATTTTATTTGGCCTAATGTAAGACTAGACAATTTGGGAATATGTTGGCAAGGCATTGTAATTGCTTACAGACAAACTACTGTGATATTTTCCTGTTCCCTTCAGATCCATCCTTAAATGGACTCATAGTAAATGACTGTGACTATTTAGTTTACAATCCTTTGACAGTTACCCATGACCCAGGATATAAAAATCCAAGTTCCTTAAACTCTTTTTTTTGAGACAGAGTCTCACTCTGTCACCCAGGCTGGAGTGCAGTGATGTGATCTTGGCTCACTTCGGGCCTCCGCTTCCAGGGTTCATGATTCTAGTGCCTCAGCCTCCCTAATAGCTGGGATTACAGGCATGTGCCACCACATTCAGCTGATTTTCGTATTTTTAGTAGCGATGAGATTTCGCCATGTTGGCCAGGCTGGTCTTGAACTCCTGGCTTCAAGTGATCCATCTGCCTTGGCCTCCCAAAGGGCTGAGATTACAGGCATGAGCCACCACACCTGGCCAAGTTTCTTGAAATCTCTTTCTGACCTGACCATCCCACCTCCCAAGCCTCATCTCTTATTACTCCCTGCTTCACACCTTTTATTTCCATAATACAGAGCTGATTACAGATCCCCCAGTGGATGTCTTGCTGTTTCTTGCTTCTCTAGGTAAAAATTGTGTCTGTAAATAAATGCAATACATCCTGATCTTTGGTTGATCTACTTTTTTGAACAGCTATATTTCACTGTTAATAAATGACATACTTTTCTTCAAATGAAGTCTCTGGCTTAGGAGTCAACTTTGATTTTTCAGAAGTTTCCATGCTTATGGTTGCTGGCAATAATGAAGGGATGGAAACTTGCAAGACGGTGCTATGGAACTGTAATGTAATTATAAAAAGTCAAAAATCAATCAATCAAAACAAAACACAAGTCACAGAGTACTTAAATAAAAGTAAGACAATTAAATGGTCTATTGATAAAATCTCATAATCAGTATTCAGAACTCTATATTTGCAAAATAATTTCAGAATATAAATATCTACATGGATGAAGTACTAATCAAGAAATCATCCTGGAGGAAGAAAAATTTTGAACTTGATTCTAAATAAGACACTGAATATTGTGAATAAAACTTAGTAAGTATCATTGAGCAAGTTTATGGTAATTTTTTTTTCTTTTTTCTGAGATGGAACCTTGCTATGTTGCCCAGAATGGCCTCGAACTCCTTGGCTCAAGCAGTCTCTTGCTGTAGCCTTCTAAGTAGCTGAGATTACATACCTGGGCTACTGTACCCAGGTAATAATAGTAAATTCAAACAACCTGAAGCCCTGGCTAAAATCTTGGCTCTGACACACCTGCCTAAGTGATCAGTGATCTTAGCAAATCACTTCACTAGGCATTCATCAGTTTCACCCTCTGTAAAATAAGAATGACAAAGCCTACCCTGCATGTTGCAGAGATTTAACGTAAGATTTCAGTAACATGTTTTGCTTTCAACATTCTATTATTATTATTATTATTTGAGACAGGATCTCACTTTATCATTCAGGCTAAAGTGCAATTCTGCGATCATGGCTCACTGTAGCTTTGAACCCTGGGCTCAAGTGATCCTCCCACCTTAGCCCAATCAAGTAAGGGAAATGACCAAAAAGGAATTGCTAAATATAAGGAAGTCAAGATTGTTTAGACAATGTAACTATTTCCCATTCCCTCTCTCTCTAGACAAAAAAATTACACTAAAATTAAGAAACAGTTTCAGGGCAAAGATGAAGCACAAGTGCTATGAGGAAACATGGTCTTCAGATGAGCCAAGGGTGTGGCGTAAAACCCTTTGTTAAGACCTTGAGATGGAGTAGGCTAGAATCAAATAAAAATAGAAAAAAACAAAAACAACAAAAAAAAAACCTTAGGAAGATTACAGTAGTACTGTCTCATTGAATCTCTGAAAAATGATCAAAGGCTCTAAAAATAATGGGATGTCCCATTGCAGCTCTGTAGAGAAACTTAGCTAGAGATAGGCTTATGGTGAAGCTGTGGATGGGTTCTTCTCTAATACAGTGAATTATAACATGATTTGTATGAAATTCTAAATATTTAAAATATTATCCCAAATTAGACCCAAAGGGACGGAGATAGTAGAAAATGAAGAGGTGGATTTGGACATCTCTGGGCACTTTTGCAGGCACAAAACTGAGAAAACTACCCATCTGCAAATACAGGCAAAGAAAGAATGACTTGGAAGGAAGAATCAACAGCCCAGATGACTGGCAATACGTGCCTGGCTGGATTTTGGAACTGCTATGGACTGGTGACACCTGTGAGCCTTCCAGCTCCCCTTTTTTAATGGGAGTGGCTATTGCTGTTACATTATGCCTATCCAACCATCATATGGATGTGTGGAGGGCAAATAACTGTCCTTGAAGTCCACAGCTCCTTAAGTCAATGGAAACAGTCCTCAAGAAGCTGTGCACAAGGAACTGTACCTGAGGAGCTTCACCCACATCTCAACCTGGTCTGGATGGCAAGATCTTGGGATGCTGATGCCACACTGGAATGAGACTCAGGGGTCTTTGGAAAGGGGCGAGTGTATTTTGCATGGGAGATGGTTGTAAAGTGGTTTAGCTAGAGGGTAGAGTAGAAGATTATATTTTCCAAATGTGGTTGCACCAATATATCCCATCCTACCTCTCCTTACAATGTAATGTAGTCACTTGTCCATCAAGGGGTAGGGTCTATGTTTCCTCTCCTTGAATCTGGGTGGGCCTATAGGCCTGTGGCCACAGCAGAAGAGATGCCATGTGATTTCTGAGATAAATCATAACAGGTGATGCAAAGTTGCCTGGGCCTCTTGGAATGCTCACCCTTAGGACTGTGAGGAAGCCAAGCAGTCATATGTAGTTGTTCTAAATGGGGCCTCAGCTGAGGTCCCAGACAAAAGCCAGCCCCAGCCACCAGACATACGAGTGAGTTAGCCTTCAGATGACTCAGGCCCAGGCCTTCACATGACTCAGGCCCAGGCCTTCACGCCACTCCAGCTGATGCCAAGTAAAGTAGAGACAAGATGCTCATGCTGAGCCCTGCTCAAACTACAGTCATTAGCAAAAGAAATGCTGTCGTTGAAGCCACACAAAGTTTTGGCGTGGTGTACAATAGATAACAAACATATTTTGAAGCCAGTTTGATGCGAAGTAAGGAGTGTATAACTGTTTACTCCTTTCCAGTTGCTTCTTCCAAGTCTAAAGAAGTCACAGGAAAATTTTATTCAATTATCTTTCAGAGTCACCATCAGAAGTGGCCAAAATCAATTTATGTGTATAACGCTGCTTGAGTTGGTAATGAAACTGAGAGAGGAACCCATGTTTTTCATGTTATGAACAGTGCTTTAGCTTTCAACAACACAGTCTCTTCAACATGAAGGAAATATTAAAAGTCTATTACTACCTCTTCGGGAACACTTGTGTTAAATGGGTCACGACTGGGAGATCCCGTTACTGGAGTGGGTGATGGACTTTTCTCCAGATCACTGAAACCCTGTGCATCCAGCAAAGTTGAGATGGAACTGGAATTGAGCAGATCTTCATATTCCCCATCTTTGCCTAGGAAAAGACAAAGCAAAGAGAAGAGAACAGCAGGTTTTCATTTATATTTCACTTTTACAAGAAGAATCCCAATTATATTGAACACAAAATTTTTTTCTGGAGCTTCTCCTGGCATCCCTTGAAAAACAACATAGGACCTAGGAAACAGCATCTGAAACTGTGGACACCCAGGCCCAGGGGCTCTTGGGCCACAGTGGGTACCTGTGATATTAATAGGCAAAGTCATATTCATTGACTCATCGGATTGAAAGAAAATTTAAAGTTAACTTATTCCAACAACTCTCTTGTAATTTTGTTTTAAAATCAGGAGCTTACAAATTTTAGTATAGAAGTTATTCTTCAAGCTGAAGAATACCTGGTAAAAAAAAAAAACAACAACAAATTCCGAATAGCAACAAAATCCCATTTAAAAAACTTAGTCTTCATCATTGTTGTGCTCTTAAAAAAACATAGAAAGGAGAACAGGAAAAGCAAAAAGACAGATGACCTTTGATCTCTCAAGGGGACCCTTTTATGTCATTTTAAAGCAAAAAAAAGTCTGATGGAAAAAAGCAACGACATATTCACCAAAGTTGCAACCTTGAGAATTTTTTTTACATATCTAGAAATGAAAAGGATTAACTGCTGAACAGAGCAGTGCCAGATACTCTTTTTTAAAAATAGAAAAAAATGATACTTAAGAGTCAAATCTACAGATAATATGAAATGGCAAATCATATACTTGTTTAAAGATCTTAATCAGACCACAGCTTCTTAATTTAGGTTTCACTAGAATGTTACCCTAATTTTAACAGAATTTCGTATTAGAATTGTGTGAGGATTAAATATGACTCCTAGTGAGAAATCATTGTTTAGACAACTCTTTATTGTAACAGAACATAGTTTTCAATGGTTTATGAATATCTATGCTGCTGTACATGGTTGAAAACTACCTCTTTTATTTACATGTTCGTACGCACAGGAAAAAAAGCTAGAAAGAAATAATACTCAAAAAAGCCAATAGTAATCATTCCAGTGCAATTACAAGTGATTTTTATCTCCTTTATTTTCCAAACGTTTTACAATATAGTTTAATTAAAGGAATTAATATTTTTCTGCCTTGGTTTTAAACATAAGACTTGCACAGTTGAAATTCTATAAAAACAAATAATATTTTAAATGCTATGCATATGTAAAATTAATCACTTACAAATTTGCAATATTCCATAGAATAGAGACTCTTCTTCTGAAGGCATGGAAAATGCTGAGTGATGAGAATTGCTAGTCAACACTGATAATTACAGGTTCATTTGCTTACTCGGATATTTATAAAATCTAATATGCTAGATCCTGCATACAAAAATATGTTGCTGATTTTTTTTTCAAAAATCCTGATCCAAAGCAGGATATTCCTTCTCTATTAACTCATCAAAATTAAAAATTCAAAATCTGAGTGTTTCATTGGGAACTCCCAAAAGAATTATTTCCAGTGCTTACATTAAGAGCAGATAACTCTACCTATGCATTGCTAAAAAACAAGAGCACTTTCAAATTTCCTCCGCATTTAAAGATGGCCAATGCGCCCATCTGCAGATAAATACAACAAAATGCACAACTATCTTTATGTACATGTCTTACAGGATTTTTCTGAACTTACCATGATCAAAGCTGAACTCAATCCCCTTTACCCAAGCCAATTTTCCTTCTCTAGGCTTCCCCATATCAGTAAATGGAACCATCATCTACCCAGCTGCTTTAGCTGGAAATGTCTTTCTTGATTTCTTCCCCCTTCTTCACTCTCCTCCTCTATCTCATTACACTGCTGTGTCAGTCCACTATAACACATTCCCAATCAGTAACTATCAGATTTTTTTCACTTGGAATAATGCAAGTCTCTGAATTGGTTTCTGCTGCTCCCAATATTGCTCACTTCCCTCCATGGCCCACTTTAGCCTCCCAAAGTGCTGGGATTACAGGCATGAGCCACCACCCCTGGCCACTGCTGACTTTTAAAGCCCTTCAGTGGGTCCCTCTGCACTTGACCAAGGGTTGAACTCCACCCCTTGCACGACCAGTGGTTGCTCATCATATGGTCTCATCTCATCCCCTCTCCCCACTACCCACCACCTTGGAGTTGCACTGGTGTTCTTCTTCTTAAGCATGCCACATTCTTTTTCCCTGGGTTCTCTGCATATGCTGTCATTTTCTCTCTCTGGAATGCTATCTCAACTCCTTAGAGAGGCTCTCCCCGACCAATGACTCTACAGTACACTCACTCCTCAGCCTGGACACTTTCTGGCAGAGTGCAGTTGCTAATTGTTCAATTAACAAATGAGCTACCTAATTTGTGACAATGGGTATGATCCAGGAAAGAAACTGAGACCAAATGTGTAAGTTTATAGCCACTTAGAATCAAGCAAAGTAGAAAAACTTTTAGAACGACACTCTACCTTTTTTACCCTGGGCCAGTACCACAGTATCTTGCATTTTCTTGTACCTGTTCAGGCACTGTCGAAGATCTTCTATTTTCCGATCCTAGGAATAAAATAAATTATAATCTTTAATCCTACAATCATAAAAGAGTAAGATTGCTTTTACATAAAAAATAAGCATGATTCTGCTGAGAGAGCATTTTAAAAAAAGAATAAAAAGATGTGAATTATTTACATTATTTAAAGAATACTTCTAAGCTTCCGCAGAACTAACTGGTGATAACTAGACTATGTTTCCTACATACATTAAAGATATGGAAAAAGTATCTCTAAATTTAGAGATCCTATTCTTTAGCTGGCATCTTTAAAAACAAAAAAAAAACCAAGGTAATAAGATACAAAACAAAAAAAAGAAAAAAGTCAGTTTCATTTACTCTCCTTTCTAACTTATAAGTCAAACCTTGAAAGAAAGGCCTCCATCTTCTGTCTTTATTAGCCATCATTAATCACCATCTGGCTTCTCCCCTCTCAAAACCCTCTACCAAGGTGACCTCTTATCTATTAAAAACAATGAACACTTTTCATCCTTTATCTTTTCTTTTCCTTTCTTTCTTTTTTTTTTTTTTGTTTTTTTTTTTTTTTNTTATACAGGGTCTTACTGTGTCATGCAGGCTGCAGTGCAGTGGTGAAATCTAGGCTCACTGCAGCCTCAGCCTCCTGGCTTAGGTCATCCTCCCACCTCAGCCTCCTGAGTTGCTGGGAGTATAGGCATGCATCACTATGCCCAGCTAATTTTCATATTTTTGAGAGATGGGGTTTCACCATGTCACCCAGGCTGCTCTTGAAATCCTGGGCTCAAGTAATCTGTCTACCTTGGCCTCCTGAAGTGCTGGGATTACAGGCAGGAGCCACCATGTCCGGCCCCAACCTTTTGCTAATTTGACCTCTCTGTGGCACTTGACTGACCTCACTCTTTTCTTCTCCTTTCTCTTCTCCATCCACTCTTTCTTTTCTTTCATTTTGCTTTCTTAATCCCTTGACCAGATAGCTGTCAAACTTCTACAACCCCCATCATCTTCTTGGACTATAAAACGCTAAGCTACCAGGTTCTGTCTGTTACCCTCTTTGCTTTTCCCATGTGCTCAACTGTGTTATGAAAATGGTCTCCTTAGCTCCTCCCATTCTCATTCTGGGACTGGACATGTGGGTGGCTTTGGCTAAAGAGATATCATTAAATGTGATTCAAGCAAATGCTTGAGAAGCATTTGCCCTTTGTGGCTGCCCTGTGGCGTGGTTCTAAGGAACCCCGAGGAACTATGTGACGAAGCCTAGCTCAGTCTACAGGAGGATGGGAGACCATCTGGAGAAGAGGCGAGTCCTCCTAGCTGAGGCCAACCTAAACTAGGCTGTCAATCACCAGACATGTAAGTGACACTATCCTAAATTATGCATGCAGTCTCATCTAAGCCACCACCTGACTGTAGATGCCAGCTAAGCCAAATTAGAAGAATCACCTAGCCAATTCACAGAAGTACAAGAAAAAATAAATGTGGTCTGTCACAAAGCAAAAACTAACTGACACTTCAACTGTGGCTTAGTCCCCAACAATTTACAACTCCACATTTCTCCTAAAATTGATGGAGTTCACTCCCCGCCAATCTATATTTCCACATTAATCCTAAAATTTAGATTCATGTTCCAACTTTCTATAAGAAATCTCCTTTACAATGTCCCATAAGCATACTGGATGGACTATATCTACAATTAAGCTCATTCTTTCCCTTTAGTATTTGAGCCTGTGCTGCTTAGCTCTCCTTAACTCCTTAAGAGCACCATCCACTGACCCAGTTGCCTGAACTGGGAACTTACTCTTGTTTCTCAAATCCAGAGACCTTAAATCTTGTCAACCCATAAATTTCTCTAAAACCTTTTCCCACCTTACCACTTCGCTGCTCTTGCCTTACTTCAAGCCCTCTTCATTTCTCTATTTTAACAGACTCTTATCTGTTTACCTGTCTTCACTCTCCCATTCTGCTACCAGAGTTAGCTTTCTAAAATGGCAATTTAATCATGTCACTGCCTAAGGTTTATGAGCTAAGACCCTAAATCATGAGCATGGCGTCTGGCCCCCGGCTGAGCTCTGTGGTCAGCCTCACAGCCCCTGCTCCACCAGCATCTCACGTGCCAGCACGATCCCAGCATGCACCGTGTCATTTCAAGCCTGGTCTTGAGACAAGTTTTGTCTCATGGACCCTTTGCTTGAGAAACCTTTATTTAAATCCCAATGAACAACTCTTGCTTTTCCCCAGAATTTGCTTATATGTCCTCTTTGAAGTCTTCTGAACCCCTGGCCGCATGAGGAAGTTATGGTTACTCGGGGTGCTCCTATAACAGTTTGAGTATCTCATAAGCCCTCATTCAACATTGGGAGTTTTGTTTGCAGTTGCTTTCTGAGGGATAGAAATTTAAACAAAATGAATTTCAATGATTTTTAAAAAATAAAAGGGTGGGCAGCTTGCTAATTACTTTTCTTTTTACTCAATAGTGGGAAACATTAGCAAAAAAGAGCCTGTGAGAGTGGGTATGACAATCAGTTTATTTCCATGCAATAAAGAGGATTCAAGGCAAAAATAAATAAGGAGATAAGAAAAACAGAGTAATCAAGAATGAGAGAAAGAAACTTACTCTCATTCTTGAGAGAAAAATGATCAAGCCAAAATTATTTGGCTTTTTTTTTTTTTTTGACTTCCTTGAAGTTACTCTTTTTTTGGGAAAATGTCCCCTAGTTCTATTCATTCAGGCAGGTGAGGGGAGAGAAGTTCTGGTGACATCAGCTGAACACAACTATGGCTGCCTGCTAGGTATATGGAGATAGATAGTCAGGTAAGCCATGAAGAAACCCATTGCTTTCGTGCGGTAACTGCATCCTGGCCCTTAGCCGGATGAAACATCAGATGTGGATAACAAGAACCAACTGGGGTCGGGAGGAACCTGTGGAAACCTTGGAATGAGGCCAATGTAGCTAAAGTAAAGCCTGTGCCACTGTTTTCTGATATTTACCCTCTCAGGAGAACAGAGACAATCACAGATGTGAAACAGGCCAGGAGTGTAAAGGAAATAATGACTAAATGGAGGAGACAATTACCATGACCCTGAAGCTGAGGTTTTCACGAGCTCCCTCCTTCAGAGCCTGCAGGTCAGCCCAGAATTTTCAGTGCCCACAGACAGGATGTACTATGGAATGTATCCTCTCTCTTACATGTCACCTGAATATGCAGAACTGATCAGACAGGCTAAACATTTCCTGAATTCACAGGGGTAGGAGTTCTCAGTGGAGCCAGTGCTGCTGCTCCATATTCCTGGGCACACAGCACAGCTGGGTGGAGAGAGCATACCTGCCCCTCACTGCTAGCAGTGTTCTGGGAATGCTCTTTTAAAATGGGATAGCTCATGAAACTGCATGGAGAGGTTGAAATGGTGTTAAAAAACATCTACATGTATATTTAAATTTCATCTGGATACCTTTTCTTCATTTGCTGCCATCAAAGACTCCACAGCTTTTTTCATTTTTTGTACTTCGACGTCTGAAAATAACATCAAATCAGAAGTCAGTTTAGTTAACATGTGTGACAGTGATAAGAAGTCATTTACTCTCCAGACTGAAATGTTTTAAGATAAAGATGTTAATGATTTATTTTATTTATTCTTTAAAAAGGGCACATTTAACATCCATATTCTCTTTAAAAAAAAAATCTGAAAAGATGGACGTCTTTTATCTCACCTGAACAGCAGCCATTCTAGAAAGAAAATGAGGGTATGTGAGAACTAGCTCTCCTCTCTTAAAGCAACAAGAGAATCTTCATGAGAACACTGAAGATGACATTTCAGTGCTATAGTAATAAACACATAATGTTTTTAAAAAAGGAATTTATAAAGCAGTGTGTGAAAGCCATGAATGGTATATATAAAGACAAAAGCAGAGAAAATGATGGTTATAACCAAGATGGAGACATGAATGGTAACAGCCTGATGGAGTGTAGTATTTATATGAGTAGTCATGCTAAGAAGCTGGTTGTGGTTCCATACATAAGAATAATAAGTACTTTGCTTCATCTATAAACTTCATTTCCAATACTGCCTTAAGATAGACTTCAAGACATAAAGGCCAAAGTAAGCTGAATGTGATTCTCTTTAAAATTTGATATTCAAATACAAAAACGTGTTACTTGAATAATAAAAACCTTAAATATTTTAAAGATGAAAAGTCACTCCAGGGCCTGGTGTGGCGGCTCATGCTTGTTATCCCAACACTTGGGGAGGCTGAAGTGGGAGGACTGAGCTCAGGAGTTTGGGAACAGCTTGGGCAACATAGCAAGACCCTGTTTCAAATAAATAAATAAATGAAAAGTCACTCCAAAGCGAAATCGCAAACTAAAAAATTGAAACAGAAAAGAACATATCTGCTAAAGTTACCTGCTTCTGAGAAAAAAAAAGTATGACTGAAGATAATTTTTTTTAGAGACAGGGTCTTACTCTGTCATTCAGGTGGAGTTCATGGCACAATCACAGCTCAATGTAGCCTTGAACTCCTGGGCTCAAGTGATCCTCCCACCTCAACCTCTTGAGGAGTTGGGATTACAGGAGTGAGCCACCACACCCAGTCTTCTTAAGATAATTTTTAAAACAGTGGTGCATCATTCAGCACTGCTGTAACATTTTAAATTAAAATATACTCCATAGGAATTGTGAATTTAATTTCTGAGGAAAAGAGCCCCTAAGGAGTTAATTTTCTTTTTTCTAAGAGATGGGTTTCACTGTTGCCCAGATGCAGTACAATGGCAAGATCATAGCTCACTGCAGCCTCAAACTCCTGGATGCCTGGGGCTCAAGTGATCTTCCACCTCAGCCTCCTGAGTAGCTGGGACTATAGGCATGCACCACTATCCTCAGCTAATTTTAAAATGTTTTTGTAGAGACAGGATCTTGCTATGTTGCCCAGGCTGGTTTTGAATCCCTGGCCTCCAAAGTGGTCCTCCCACCATATATGGCAGGATTTATCTTGATGTTGCATTAAATAATCAGGTTCTATTAATAAGCTGGATGTAATCTCTGTTGTAATACGAGAATATGCTCAAAGGAGCTTCTAGACAAATAGGATCTCAGACAAATAGTGGACTTCAAAACACTGAAAGTCAAAAGCAAATTTCAAAATTATCTTTCAGTTCTGGCAAACCTTTAAAATTGTGAGTTTTCATAGTATAAAAGTGATTTTCTCCCCTACCCTGTATCACCTAAACTGCAGGGAAAATGTTTTCTTATCCACAATGCTGTGTGCCCTGCTGTACCCTGCAGAGTGGAAGGGTTGAATCAGACAAAATCTTCAAAATATTCTTTTGCCTTATTGTTTTATTATCCACCCTCTATTTTGTACACTCTGAAGAAATGGAGGGCTTATCGATGAAGCAACTTTATATCTTTGGTGACAGAAATATTTTAAAATACATGCAAAGAACAGTCCAAGGTAGTATTTTTGGTGAACGTAAAGGCTGATGGAAATGCACCAAACCTTACTTTTTTCTTTGAGCTTCTTTTTAAAATTTTCATCTGTGCAGGAAAACCCATCGAATTGGAAGTTAGCATATATTACAACAACAAATATTTTCAAATCACTATTATTTAGTCTCCTTTTATCTAAAATAAAGGAAATCTAACCTTATAAAAACTTATTCAGCACTATTTTGTGACTGTAGACATATTGTAGACAATATTGCTCTGTGTGAGGTTAGAAAGAGAATATAAGACTTAAATTTGAATTACTGCCTCTCTCACTTCATCTTTCTGGACCTTGATTTTCTCATATTAAAATTAGGCTTATGGAGTACAAGTGCTTCTTATACCATAATGAACAACTAGTTAATGTCACTTTGGTTGTTTTTATATTTCCACCACAGTTTGATACCTGGTCCTCCCAAAGGTAACTAGAGAGCTACTTGTGTTACATGCAACTCACCACTCAAGTTCAGCAACACTGAAAGGATCTATCTCCTGTCCAATGAGATGAGTTCACTGAGGATGCAGTTAGATGCCATCCCAATATCACCGTGACATGAGGTTTCTAAAGACTTGCTCTCAATCCCCGTATTTAGCTGGTGGGCACTGGTAACACACAGTTGCCAGGTTGGTTCCAGTCCTCAGATCAGACTTTGGGTGGCATTACTCTATTATCTTCTAGCCCACAAGTCCTGTGATGCCATTTTATTATTATTTTTTTCCTAGAGACAGGATCTTGCTCCATTGCCCAAGCCGAAGTATAGTGACACCATCACAGCACACTACAACCTTGAACTCCTGGGCCTAAGTGACCCTCTCTCCTCAGCCTCCCAAGTAGCTGGGATTACAGGAGTGAGCCACCATGCCTGGTGAAATTTGAAATTTAAAACTTTCAAATGTGTTTTTTTTTTTTGTAGAAACAGGGTCTCATTGTGTTGCCCAGGCTTGCCTTGAATTCCTGGCCTCAAGCGATCCTCCCTCCTCAGCCTCCCGAAGTGATGGGATTACAGATGTGAGCCATTGTGCCCAGCCCATTTTATTCTTAAAACGATAAAAGCATGATCAGTATGACCTATTTCTGAATGTCCCTTATCAATACACAATTCTATATATGCTGTATAGTAGGTGATGTGGATTGGGCAGAAAAGGGTTGGGGGTGAGAATCCATTTCCCTCAGGTTTGATGAATTTTCTGACAGACAGGGAACTGTGATACCTACAGGTATATAAGGCCATGGAATTCTAGAGCCAAAAGGACTTTAGAGATCATCAATTTCAAGTCCCTCATTGGACAGACAGTAATGTTACTGATTTTCATATAATAGATAAACATGTAACAAAGCTACACTAACTGGAATTTGTACTGTTTTGAGTGACTCAGAAATTGCTTTGGTATCTCACAGTGCCACAGTCATCATTCGTAATTATAAAGAAAGGTTAAATTTAACCGAGTGTTGTCAGATGTTAACTACATTATATTTCCAAATATAATTTTAAAACATATTTCATTCAGGCTATTTTCTATCATGTACAACCTACTTTATTAGAAATTATGGTCCATATAATACTCAGAACAAACCTCTTCAATTATAAAAAAATATTTGGACAAATTAAGGCATTTTTCCAAAAACAGAATTAGTCTATTTTTGCTTTCTAAAAGGTGGAGGGCTCAATCCCTGGTATAAATTTTTCACTAATTATTCCAAAGATACAGAGCCATCTTTCCCCTATCAAAAGGGAGGGAACAGTTTCTAAGTCCCTTACTTTATCTAATTTCAGCTCTGAGGGCAACAATCCTGGATAGTGATGGTTCTTTTTAACTCTTTGGCATTCCCTTGTATTGTAATTGAGACCAGTCCATTCTGGTGATGAGCATTTATAGTCTAGTAATCTTCAATACTGAATAAAGTACGGAATTCCCCTTTCCCAGCTGCTAAAGAGGATGTTAATGGATTGATTCCCAGTCACAGTAAAGAATCTTGGAGAATTCCCTGTGGTTCTGGGCCTGGCTGGATTCTGCTATTCTTTCTTTGAGGCTAAAACTACATATTGACTATCATCAGTTTCTTTTATAGATTTTGGAGGACTTTAACAAAATAAGATGACAAATATGAAATGTATCTTCTTACCTCTATCAACAATTTCAATCCCTTCTCCTTTCATCTTGCAAACCAATTTTTCTTGTAGTCTTTTTACTTCAGATTCCTTTTCTTCTAGTTGTTCTTTTAAAGATGCCAGTTCATCCTAGGAGTTACAAATTCATTTAAAATCAGCAGATCATAACTAAAAGAGAACATTCAGAGAGCATATTAGCTCTTTAAATCAATAATCAGATTTTATGAATGAAACAAAATCTACAAGAATTTAGAGGCAAGCATCAGAAATCAAAGGCAATGAAAAGCAGGAAGCAAGACTATTAGCAGAGGCCCCATTTATAATAGTTATGGTATAATTATTTCAAGTTTCTTTGTAATCAAATTAAAAAGAGATCTTTTAAAGTAAAATTAGGGGTGGGATAGCCCTAAGGTTTAAATCTTACGGTAAATTAAAAACTACAACAAAGTTAATCAAGGAAGATAATCAAATTACATACTTAGTGTCATAAACGCCAAATAAGATGCAAATTGAAAAAGACTAGCTTGACATTTATTCAGCATTTCAAGATGGCACTCATGCTTCCTTGACAAGCACGGAGTTTCATTAATGGGCAAGGTAGCAAGTCATGAACAACTTTAGTCAAATCATGGAACCAAATAATTCACCCTCATCACTAAGATAAAAGGACAGAATCTCCTATAACCATGAGAAAAAATAAATTTAGAAAACAGATATTTAAGCCCTCTTCTAATTTTTAACTATACAACATATACAATTTCAAGTCCATCCCTCTATGTACTAATGCTTAAATTTTCAGTTTCATTTCAGTTAAGAATTAGCATTAGCAAACACATTTTGCTGGCTCTATTTATATTCGATATTACACTTTACTTTCAGAATCTCTAAAAATGTATTTATTACATTTAGTACTATGAGAAGATGTAGTTCTCCAGTGAAGTGAGGCAGCTGGCCCTATAGTTTTGACTTCTGGTAGGAGTAGAGTGGACAAGTTCAGAACATTTTCAGCAGCACTGGCCGGAGGTGCGAACCTGTTCTTGCCATGCTGCTTCTCAGCAGTCATTTCTATTCACAGCCACGATAATATCAACTGCTGTACCTTTAAGAAAGTCCCTAAAGAGGAAAGTGATCTCTACTGCTGATACAAAACAGAATTCTTTCACAGTAAAAATTGAATGTTTACAATTATTTAACTAGGCTTGGGTCTCAGTCTAAGAGAGTTAAATTTAATTTATAATTTTTATTCATTTTACTTGTTTATTATTTTTTACTATTTCACGGTTTCTGAAAACAACATCAGGGATCCCACTATCCCTTCAATCAGCTTGAGATGATTTCTAATCAACAGGTGACACACATACAGAATGAATGCACATGCCACTAAAAACATCATCACAGCAAAACAACACAAGCCAGAAAGCAACAGGCCATGGACCCCATCACCCAACGTCTACTACACCTTCTGTGACTCCCATTTTTGTTCCATCCGCTGCTTTTCATACTGCATCTGACCCACCTTGATTTTCATGCTAGAAAGTTTGGCCATTAAAGACTGGTAGAGAGACAGAGGAGTGAAAGAAAACTACAGAGAAAAAGACAAGCTAAATAACCAAGAAAATAGTATCCATTTATAAAAGAGGTTAGATACAACTCAGAGAAAGGGCAGGTTATGTTCTGTCGGGTGAGTTAAGCCTTGTTTTTAAATTCAGATCGGTGGTGTTTAAATTCAAGAAGGTTTCCAGCTTGGGGGGAAGCTTCATTTACTTTTAAAATACTCTCTTTATCATACACTAAGTAGAAAACATCTTATTTATATTATTGGTCATAGATGAATAGTGGACTCATTTGTGGTTAACCTATGAGAAAAACTTACTTTGGTTGATTCAAGCTTTTTTTCATACTGAAGTTTTTCACTGCCCATTTCATTAACTTTCAACCTCAAATCATTGATCTCCTGAATCAGCCCCTGTCCAAGAAGAAAGAAGAAAGTACATCAGGAAAGTGGCAACACAGTTACCTATACCTATAAAGGAGCAGCTTGGAAATCCTAAGAAGTCACCAGTGCCTAGGGTTAACACTGCATGAATCAGATGAGACAAATGGAAATACATGTACCTCCTTAAGAACCAAAGCATGTTTCCATTTAAAACATTCCTTTAAATCCCTAATGCCTCTGCCCTAAGGTGATGGGCTTATGAAAATATAAGGTGACTGCAATTCTCATTAAGAAAGGTAGCTTGATAACTATTATTTGTCAGATATTTCTATCCTAAAAATGACTCTCTGCTATTTCATAGAGTGCTATTTAATTCTATTTCATAGAATGCTATTTCATAGCTTAAATATACCATATTCTTTAGTAAAGCCATTTACCTTTTGAACCTTCTCAGTGATATATGGCTATTAAAAAATTTGTAATTTTTTCCTTTGTCCCCCAAAATATGGATTTCTGATCAACCCAATATGGGAGACTGGAATGAAAATTAAATCCTTTAAGCCCATGAATTCTTAAGATTTATGAAATGGTCTGGAAAATGTTTTATTTTTATTAAGTGAATAACAGGAACATAAGAATATTCAAACTCATTTTAATTTTGAGGACCATTTCAATTATTTTCATATGTAACAGCACAAAGTTTATCAACAATTTTCTGATTTCTAGGTATGTGCATATACTTTAGCAATAATGTTGAATTTTTATTAGGAGATTATCAGGGATCGAGTTTATTAAAAGTTTGATGACAATTCTCAACTCAAAAGTGGATGAGGGCCCTACCGTTTACCTAATTTTATAATTAGAAAATGAAAGAGAAACCAATCCCAATGCTTACATGACACAACATGATTTTGTGCCTCTTCTACAGCTACTTTTTATTTTATTTGCTCATAAAACTTGTCCAAGTATTCTGAGAAGTAGTGGTGTATTTTTGTCCAGGGCCCAGAGAGTAGGAAGGAAATTAGTGTTACACAATATTAACTCCTCCAAAAGAGACACTCAAATACCCTGCATGGGAAATGACTTACATTTTACTACAAGACGCAAAGATCCCTACAATGGTTACTATATTTTTGCTTCTTTTTCCTTTTTTTTTTTTAATATAGCGTCTTGCTGTGTCTCCCAGGCTAGAGTGCAGTGCTACGATCTCAGCTCACTGCAACCTCCACCTCCAGGATTCAAGCGATTCTCCTACCTTGGCCTCCTGAGTAGCTGGGATTACAGGCACCTGTCAATATGCCCAGCAAATTTTTATATTTTTAGTAGAGACGGGGGTTTCACCATGTTGACCAGGCTGGTCTCAAACTCCTGACCTCAAGTGATCTGCCCTCCTCAGACTCCCAAAGTGTTGGGATTACAGGCATGAGCCACTGTGCCCAGCCAGCTTCTCTCTTTTTAAAAAGACATGCAAGTATTTCTGGGTCACAAATTCATATAGTACAGGACAAAATTATCCAAGAATGCCAAATATTGCAGGTAGAACAATGTTATAAGAAATACAACTTTGTGAATAGAGATTATTTTAAGCCTCCAAGTGTAATGATTCAAGTTCACAAAGGCTAAAAGAAGGGATGCTACAGTGAAATACATTTCCCAGTAAACCCACAGACTTTAAATTGTGGTCTCATAAAATGGGCAAAATATTACCTATCATAGTTATACAATTTCTCCTTAAGAAACACTTAATAATCATACAATATTTCACTTAGATGATATCTATTTTCTTCTTATGAATTAGGTCAAGAACTGTTTAACATTATCCAATAGCATATTTGTGATTCCTCATCTAACAGGTCAGAATTCAAGTTCAAAGAAAAAATCAGCTTTTCCTAGTTTTTGAAACTAATCATCCTTGAATAATATGAGTCCTTAGTCATCTTTATCAATATGATCTTTTAAAATATATATTTTCTCACTTTCTCATTGTTAAGAAATAGCAGTGAATTCCTATCTGCTATTGTTGTATGTTAACGGCTTCCTTGAGAAACAGTGGCAATGTGCAAAGAAGAAACCATGGGAAAAAAATGGAATTATAAACTGGGATAATTTATCTGTTTTAACAAAAACGATTCAACTATATTTCATGGCAGTATTTACATATGGTCTACATTTCCAACCTGAAATAAATCATATCTTCCCCTGACAACACAAGCTAGAAAATCTGGAAATAGCTCCCTAATGTAAAACTTTATAAAATGAAATACAAATTATTTCAATTAATTTCTTATCAGAAGTTCAGTCCTTTTGAAAAAGAAAATCCCTGTTCCTTTTCCCTTTTCCCTTTCAGAGAACTCTTCAGGGCCCTCGCAGGAACTGTCTCTAATATCTATGCTCTTACCAGAAGGGGGCACTGTTGAATGATGCCAACCATCTCCCATTAGCAATTCCAGGGACAAGCAAGTCCTGAATTTTCCAAAGTTTAAGAACTTCTACCCTCAGTCCTTTGGAAATGCCTCTACTTCTTCCTCATGACACTATTTTATCGGAAATTAATATTTAAATAATATAAAAGTCTAAGAGAAAGTTAAATATTATGGATTCATGACACAGCTAGGAAAATATTTTTATTAAGGGAACGATAACAGGAACATGAGAATATTCAAGTTAGTTTAATAGTGAAGATCATTTTAATTATTTTCATATGTAACGTCACTAAGTTTACCATATAGTCTCTAATCTCCAGTATGCGCATATGTTTTAGCAATAACACTGAATTTTTATTAGAAGATTATCAGGGATTGAGTGTACTAGAAGTTTGATGACAAGATCACTTTACATGTGATTGGAGAGCGCATGAGTGAAATAACGAGAAAGTGGGGAAAAAAAGTTTGATTAAAAAAAAGCAGCCAGACTCAGGGGATGTAAATATTGCCCTGGGGTCTTACAAAAATAAAGAAATAACACGTCTACTGCAGTTTAGTCACAACACTTGGTTAGCATCTCATATCCAGATTAAGTTAACAACAGATGAAGATTTCCCCTTGACTTTGCAGACACAATGTAGAAGACTACCTCTATCCACATCTACTGTAAATTCTTCCCTGCAGCAGAGCCAGCACCACTGTCATGTGTCCATCTGTTGACAGAGTTTTACTATTACCTTACACAACGACTACAGGGTTATGACCTGACAAAAAGAGGGGAAAGAGGAAAATATCAACAGGTTTTTAGAGAAAGCACAAAAGCAAGAATTTTTAATTGGGTAACTTTCTAAGTCTTGTGTTAAGATCCCCAGCTTCGATCAAATGAGAAACATGCTCATATAGGCAACTGACAAAGAGTTTTAAGATTAAAACACGTCTGGGCATGGTGACTTATGCCTATAATCCCAGGGCTTTGGGAGGCCAAAATGAGAGGATTGCTTGAGGCCAGAAGTTCCAAACTAGCCTGGGCAACACAGTAAGATCACATCTAAAAAAAAAAAAAGATTAAAACATGAACCGAATGAATTTTGCCACTGCAGAAACGAGACATATACCAAGACGTTCCACTATAATTGAATCTTTGACAGAAAATTTAATTTTGAAATAGCAATGGAGTAAACCTTCTTATTTCCAGATCTATAAAGGGCTTTCCTATAGCGGATAATGTATGTGATGCCTGGTACCATGCTGGCAAATAGTCAGCATGAAATACATGTTTGAAATAAACATAGAAGAGGAAAATAAGTAAACCATTTTCTCTCCTCTCTCCGTGGTACCCATTTTCTAATCCAGTGTGACAGCTTCCCATACTCCTACCAAGGAAACAAAATACAAAGAAAAAAGGAGGGGAGATGGCCTGCAGAGAGAAGGAATTTCTGCAACTCTTTATACTTCATTTCAAATGAATATATATATATATATATATATATATATATATATATATTTTCATGATCTGTGGTTTTCTTTGTAATTATCTTAAGTCTTATGATCACACATCATTTTTAAATTTGTGTATATCTCCTCTACTATATTCCTTTTAAGTTGGCAAAAGCACCATTCCCAATCACAAATACACAGCAGTTGTACAGTTTTGTTTCTGAATGGCTGTTTAAAGACAATCCTAAATTATAACTTAGTTTGACTTAGATTGTAAAGAATCCAAGAGTGAAGTTTCATTGGCTACTATTTTAAAAGCATGTGACCTTATAGATTATCTATAAAATGTGTGAAGTGTTAAATAATTTTTGATATTACACATAAACCACAAAAAATGCCTTTCAATAAGTAAAAGGAACCATTTTAAATACAGGGAATTCTAATTAGATTGGCATAGTTAAGGCCAAAAATATAAAATAGCCATTGCTACCCATTTATCTTCAACCCTTGCCTTTAAGAGGCAAATGAACACAAAACACAGGTGAATCTTGCTTGGTTCTGAGACAGTGAAGGAATTTCCCCCATATTTAAATATATTCACATAACCAGTTATATAAATCTAAATATAAAACCAATCTCCAGTAAGTTTTAAGATGGCACTCACCATCTTTGTGAAAAATTTAACATTACTAACGAAGTCTAATCATATCTTTAGAAGGGGTAAACAGTGATAGAATTTACTAAATTGGATTTACTATTAAAATCCAAAAACTGAACATACTCATTTAACCACAAGCCAGTCTTAGTTTTAAATAAGGACTGCCCAACAAACTATTCTGTCAGTCATTCATGAAGTAAATTCTGGTGTATGAGATCTATTAAAGTATGGTACACATAAAAAAGTCATGAGACACTTGTTTCGTAATAAATAAGGCAGTGGCCAATTATTACTAATTAGTAGCTTTTTTGAGATAAGCTATTAAGTCTTCCCTTTCTCCCTTCTTCTTAATGCCGACAAAGATCATTTTTGTTCCAGGGATATACTTCTTGGGATTCTCCAAATATTCCATCAGTGTATCCTCTCCCCAGATGATGCCTTTGTTCTTATTGGCTTCAGTGTAAGTTAATCCAGAGGGCTGACCTGTCTTCCGCCCAAAGATACCATGGAGATTAGGTCTAGTCTTGTGCTTGCCTCCCTTTTCCATGGTGTGACTTTGGGAACACTTCTGAATAAAAATCCTCTTGCCTTTCTCAACATCACCCATATTTAATTCTTTTTCGTCATTAGCACAACAAAGGTTACCGCTCAGAATATATTTCAAATGGATATGCTCTCTCCCTCCACCAACAAAACAACAGAGGTTAAGAACTTGCCAAATGTCACACAGCAAACAAAGTAGAAGGCCTGAATTAATAAAATAGAACAAACAGTAAAGCTTGTTTAGCCACTAAACTGGATACTTCAAATTATAGAATGTACCCTGAGTTTCGTAGAAGTACAGCGAGTCTTATTTAATTAGAATGATTTACACGTGGATTAGACCAAAAATAGAAAGTCAAATTAATAGACATTGAAAAAGCTCTGTGGTTTTGCGATTTCAGAATGTTAGCATGTTTTCTATACAGATTTAAAAAATTCAATTACATAGTAAATAATCAGTGTACCTAAATAATAACTACTAGTAAAACCATGCATTTAAGCCCATTATTTACAAAATTAAGAAAACCAGTATGGATGGACAGATGCTCCAAATATCCTAAAGCCAAAAGTATTCTTAAAGGTTGATAAAAGGATTAATATTGCATATCAAAAGTCTAGAAATAAAAATCACCATTAGCATTTAGCGATAAAAAGTCAATATAATCCAAGATTATTCTTAAAATGAAGCAGGATGAGGACACATAGCAATTAACTGCCTTCCTTGTACACCTCCAGGGAATTTCAACTTTTCCCTAGGAATGTATGTGTGTGAGAGAGATAGATAGAGTGACCCAGAGAGAGAGAGAGGTTGTATCACTTACCTCTGTGTCTCTGAACTTATCTTCATAATCCAATCTGTCCTTCTCTACAGCCGTCAGCTTCAACTTCAAGTTAGATATTTCAGCCATCAGATCCAACTTCTGAGTTTCTAAGGATGTCCTACTCAGAAGCTCCTATTGGAATTTAAAAGATACATTCAAAAATTCTTTTATTATGAACATCCACATGTGAATTTACCTCATTTATGATTGCAAAGCAGCACCTATCAAGTAGAGCGTGTACTAAAATATAATTACTAAATACACACAGTTTTAAAAAATTATTCACTTGAGGCTGGATGTGGTGGCTCACATCTGTAATCCTAGCACTTTGGGAGGCCGAGGCAGGCAGCTCACTTGATGTCAGGAATTTGAGGCCAGCCTGGGCAGTATGATGAAACCATGTCTCTACTAAAAATAGAAAAATTAGCCAGGTGTACTGGCAGGCACCTGTAATCCCAGCTACTCGAGAGGCTGAGGCAGCAGAATTACTTGAACCCAGGAGGCAGAGGTTACAGTGAGCCGAGATCACGCCACTGTACTTCAGCCTGGGCAACAGAGTGGGACTGTCTCAAAAATAAAATAAAATAAAAAATTATTCACTTCAGTTACCTTCCTTTAAGCAGAAATAAGCACATGTCAGTTTCCTGAGGGAAACATAAGTTATGTAGATACACATGCATAAACCATATATATTCTTCAGTCTGACAATGACATTGATGATGATGATACTGTTTGCTATATGCCAGGCACCCACTGTGACATATACTGTTTCAATCCTCACAAAAATCTTATCAGGTAGAAATTCTTATTATCCTTAATCAAAGTATGAGAAAGCTTAGTAACACAGAGGTTAGAAACTTGCCTAATGTCATACGGGGGGGAAAAAAAAATAAAGGCACAGCAGGAATGGAAACCTACGAGGTTTTGCTCCAGTGCATCCTCCATCCACAGCCTTACGGAGCCTCTCCTATATGTTATAGATGGTACTCAAATTTTTTCTTTTCTAATTTTGTGGATACACAGTAGATATATACATTTATGAGGTACATGAGATGTTTTGATACAGGCATGCAACATGCAATAATCATGGAAGATGGGGTCTCCATCTTCTCAAGCATCTATCCTTTGTGTTACAAACGATCCAGTTATACTTATTTCAAATGCACAGTTAAATCATTATTGACTATAGTCACCCTGATGTGCTAGTAAATACTAGGCCTTATTCATTCACAGTATTATTTTATACCCCTTCACCATCCTCCACCTCTCCCTTGATCCCCCACTACCCTACCCAGCCTCTGGTAACCATCCCCCTACTCTCTAGCTCCATGGGTTCAATTGTTTTATTTTTAGATCCCACAAATAAGTGAGAACATGAGATGTTTATCTTTCTGTGCTTGGCTTATTTCACACCTAATGACCTCCAATTCCATTTATGTTCCTGCAAATAACTGAATCTCATGCTTTTTTATGGCTGAATAGTACTCCATTGTGTATAAGTACCACATTTTCTTTATCCAGTCATTTGTTGATGGACCTTTAGGTTGCTTCGAAATCTTGGTGACTGTGAACAGAGCTGCAGCAAACACAACGGCACAGATGTTTCTTTGATATGCTGATTTTCTTTCCTTTGGGCATATATCCAGCAGTGGCATTGCCGGACCATATGGTAGCTCTATTTTTAGTTTTCTGAGGAACCTCCAAACTGTTGTCCATAGTGGTTGTATGAATTTACATTCCCACCAACAGTGTACAAGTGTTCCCTTTTCTCCACATCCTTGCCAGCATTTGTTATTGTCTGTCTGTTGGATAACAGCCATTTTAGCTGGGTGACATAGTATCTCATTGAGTTTTGATTTGCATTTCTCTGATGATCAATGACACTGAGCATCTTTTCATATGCCTGTTTGCCATTTGTGTGTCTTCTTTTGAGAAATGTCTATTCAAATCTTTAGCCCATTTTTAAATTGGATTCTTAGATTTTTTATAATTATCTTTTTTCTTAATTATAAAACATATGCTTATGGGTGAGAGGAAACAATCTGAATGCAAAAAAATGAAAATTAAAATAAGCCACAATCCTATTGACATTTTATTCCAGATTCTAATTACATAAACACTTTATATTGTATGTATATATTTTGAGACTCTGCTACTCTCGATATTTGCTTAAAATGTGCTGGTCTGAAAGAATCAGGAAACTTACTGCTGCATCAGAGCAAACACAACATAGAAATGCAGCATCTCAAATAGTTCAGCAGGGAAATCCCATCTTGGTTCTGGCCTCTACACATACCTGCTGCAGCATCTCTTCTGTGGCATTCAACTTCTCTCTGTGCTCTTCAAGACAAACCTCCAAATCTCGAATCTTCTCCCCCTGAGCCTCCACCTGGTCTGTTAACACACTTACCTGTATTTAGAGCAAAATACTGCAATGAGTGAGAAAGAATTTGAGTCCCACTGCATATGTTATTTCTCTAAATGGAACAAAAAAAAAAAGGAAATGATCCTACCACTCACACAATTGTAAAGAAAACAAAATCTGAGAAATACCAAGAAGACAGTGGTCCTTTGAATTTCTATTTATATGTTGCTATTTAATTTAAGGAGTCCTATATAATTTGGAGAAAATTAGTGTAGATTAGGAATATACAATACTTTTTGGTTACAGCTACTTCAACCGTTTACGAAAGAGAGTGTACGCAGAAGTCATCGTTTTGGGGGCCAGGGTGCAGATAGTATTAGAAGAGAGGAAGTTAATATTTGAAACAGAAATCATTAAGAACTATTAAAATTTGATACCTCAAGAATAATGAGAAAAAGAACCCAGGGGGTGTCAGGCATGGTAGCTCATGCCTGTAATCCCAACACATTGGGAGGCTGAGGCAGGCAGATCACTTGAAGTCAGGAGTTCAACACCAGTGTGGCCAACATGGCAAAACCCCGTCTCTACTAAAAATACAAAATTAGCTGGGTGTGGGGGTGTGCGCCTATAATCCCAGTTACTTGGGAGGCTGAAGTGGGAGAATCGCTTGAACCTGGGAGGTGGAGGTTGCAGTGAGCCATGACTGTACCATTGCACTCCCATCTGGGCGACAGAACGAGACTCTGTCTCAAAAAAAAAGAAAGAAGAAAGAAAGAAAGAGAGAGAGAGAAAGAAAGAAGAAAAGAAAAGAAAGAAAAACCCAGGGAATTCAAGTTCCATGATCTCTTTCAAGGTGACACTGATCACAGATGTGTTCAAAGCCAGGGGCAACTCAATAGACTCAAAGGTCCATGAGGAGCTGTTGGGTTAGTCCTTCAACTCTAGTGCTTATAGCAGATCTTTGAGTTTTTCCTCAATA